TCCCACCACTCGCTCACATTTGCCTTTCATCGTGTTACGTTTATGCCGTTAGTCTTATTTCTTTATATAATCCGAATCCTCGTCGCGCCTCTCCCGTTATTACATTATTATGCGTTCTTACGTTAACCAACAGCTAAAAGCCGACGTCGACGAACACCGATTGCCCGTAATAATATTATTAATTAAATAATTAGATTTTTTCTTTACTTGACAGACGCCAGTTCTTCAGAGTTGCAGCGCTAAATTACAACGAAACGTCCCCCCTCTCTTTCACACACACGCACACGCACGCGCACACACACACACACACACACATGCCCGCTGTGCCATTAGGCCCAAAATCCTTATTAGTCAACGAGTAACGTTGAAATTTAATATTCCGACAGAGCTGATCCAGTTGATCACCTTGGGTGACATCGACATGCTATACTATGTAACCCTGGGTGATCCCCCCCTCTCTTTCTCTCTCGCTCTCTCTTTCTTTCTTACTCTCTGTGTTTGTGTATACGCATGTGACCAATACATGCTGTAAAGAGCAGAGGACATTAACAGACCGCAGAAACGTATAAAGAAAGTTTTACTTATATGTATATAATTATAATACTATACACTGTCAGATTAAGATATTGCGTATCGACGCCGTATCGTCCCTCGCAGTAGTCGTCCCCAGTATGCTTTCGAATTTATGAATTTTTTGGTCTTTCATCCTGGTAGAAAAAAGCAGGGAGTATCGAAGTTCATGACGTAGGACTGTATCGCTACGAACAGCTAGGAAGCTCCGCCTGTCTCGAAATACGTCACAACACATACATGTAACATACACACCTGTAACGCTGAAATCGCGATGTGCTTTATGTCGCTTCCTGTTATGTCGCATTGCACTTCCCTTCCCCTCTTCTTTTCTCCACAGAAGGAATTACGAGTTCTAACGTTCTAACGAGGAGAGAATTACCTTTTTCATATTTTCCTCGAAGCGCCGGATTAAATGAAAAAGTGATAAAATGAAAAGTGCTAATCCTGGAACGGAAGCCAAACATCCAATCACAAAAGTTATATACTGCAGCATCCTCCCTACTATTCGTGCCCGCGTTCTCAGTATTTTATGAGTGAAAATCTCTCCTCGAATGGGTTCAGGGGGACAAAGTCTTTTAATTGGCATAGATCATTCTTCGCCGTGGACAATAAGCCGCTGAAAGAAGGCAGCGGAGGAACCTGCGAATAGACAGTCCCTCCCGAGGAGAACCGAGGAGAAGGAAGTGTTCGTAGAGCCCGAGGACTGTGCTACTGCCAAGCAAGCTCATCTAAAACGAGTATCCTTTTAATTATGCCATCGAGGGCATAGTCGTAGTTATCTAGAGACTTGCGAATCACGAGGTGCTCGCATGTCAAGTGAAACGACCAGACTCTCGAATCTCCGGCAAGAAAGTGCTCCCGTGTCCCCCGTCCCGTGCGCCGGCGCGAGAAGGAAAGATTCCCTCTCGAAGCATTTTAAAATTCTTCGTCTTTTGATTACAGCCGCAGGTCGAAAGTGGTGATAAAATCAGCGAGGTTGGACGACAGCGGCAGATACGAGTGCGTGGCTGAAAGCACCTCGGGACATCGAGCCTCCCTTGCGGCCGAACTTCGGGTCCTTTATGATACCAGCAGATCTCCAGAAACCAGTGAGTACCTACGGATTCTAATGTATTCTCTGTCACTTTTAGCTAGATAATCAAACAATTTGTACGTCTATGTATGACGTAGGCAGTAGACGCTGGTCTTTGTAGAATTTCGCACTGCCCCGATACTCGACAATATGGAAGCTCCAATTAATATAGATCCAAACTTAAAACGGTTGGCCGAAGGTTATTTGCGAAAACATCGTCCAGCTCTATTAAAAACTTCATATATCTAATGAACATAATAAATGTATTTGCAAGCCGCGAGCAAAGACCAAAAAAGCCCTCGGAGTCCTAAGATTCGAATCTATTTTCTGAGACGGATCCAACGCTACTCGAAAGAATCGTGCAAATCAATTCCGACAGAGTATCATTCGCTGGAAGTGGTGTGGCCGTGAAGGTAACCTTCGACTAGGCCGCACTCGCACACAATATGAAAATAGCCGATCGAACGACTCTGTGGGAAAACTAATTCTTTGAGGGCAAAAAGTTTCGAAAAGTAGGCGAAACCTGAGGACGACTGGATAGACTCGGCGGTCTCCTCCGCAAGTCAGACGGAGATGGTGGGTCTTACCTGAGCACGTTCAATCAAGTGGGGGTACGCACTGGCTACATGGGCGATTGGGTAGACAGGCACACGTCTTCTTGGCGTGCCCACCGAGCATTCTAAAACATAACTTGGGACGACCCCTGAGGGCGTAATCTTGCTTTACGTTACGACAACGTCGAGCTAACACGGAAATCTCGGAATATTCCCGTCATAGCTAGATGGAGCAACGTATCGTTTCAGGCCCGTTACCCTGCGTTACCCTGCGTTACCCTGCGTTACCCTGCGTTACCTTGCGTTACCTTGCGTTACCTTGCGTTAGCTTTGCGTTACGGTAGAGAATACGCCAGGCTCGTTAGACGCGAGACTGAATCTGTGGGCGAACTTCTGCTTGATGACAGGCTACGCATCTCATACAATGTTTCCTATATGTAGTAGAGAGACCACCCCTCCGATATCCAGACCCTTATTTAGATTCAACGTGGTAGCAATACGGAAACGGAGAATGATAAATTGTCGAGCGTGAAATTATATGTAAGGCTTCATTATTATGGTTTTGAAATCTCGAACTCTGCAGGTGTCAACTGGACGCTTTCAAAGCATTCGCCTCTTTAATAATTGCGGTAGGACTATAGGACTCTTCAACTTTGACCCTAATCATCCTGTTCTGTTTTCTAGTACTGTACCTAATTCTGTATACATATATGTACGTCATAACATCCTAACGGTGGATTCAAGAGGAACGTTGCTACTACTGTCGCCCTATTTGACATCCAATTTCGTGGAATCCTATCGCAGGTCGAGGGTAGGAAGAAGCAACCATCGAAACGGTAAATCGAAAATATCCTTTTAACCGGACAGCCAGGACTGCGCCAACCTCTGAATGCCAGAGTAGGGGACCAGGATCGGGGACTCATTTTCGAATCGCACTCATTAATCTCGCGTACGGGCAATGTTTTTAAAATGGAAAGTTGCATGCGACAATCATTGGTGCAGACTCGAGAATGCGGCTTCAGCACGGATTGAATGACGTTAGCGAGTCCAGCTTGAGATTTCATTGTCGATTATCGAATGAAGCGTTGCTTGTTCGATTTAATTAAGTAAGTCTTAATACTTTTCACATTCTTATTCTTCTTGCATTACTCAACCGCTCGCGATTTTTCTTCCAGCCAATCGATTTCTTTGTTATTTTCTACTGAAAGTCTGAGCGAAACCATCTTGCAGCATTATCTCATTTCACGAATCACGAATTTTGAGAGTATCTCGCTTTCGGCATCGTTCAAATAACCGGTGACTCTCAGCGAAAGTTTTATTAACTTATTGCCATTGCCGGATGCTGGAGCATGTCCTATATCGTAAACGAGAGAATGTTACTGCTCGCGGCATGAGAAAATTAAAATTTTTCCCGAGGCAGCAAACGATTAGTTCCTGGCGGGAGGTGTAGGAATTTTTCAGTAAAACGAAAATGTCTTCTACTCGTTAGAGTAAGTTGGGTTAGCTTAAATTAAATTAGATTATGTTTAACGAGGCGAAACGTAGCGGAAGGACTCTCCGGTACTACTGCATTCGCAGGATGCTGGAGGATTCGATTCGATGACCTATGCCCCCGTGTAGGACGTATGCCGATGGAACTCCTGTTCCAAGGACCTGCTTCCTTCGAAAGGAACGCAGAGCGAAGCCGTGGGAAATTCTCGACGAACGGCGTCATAAGCTCTCACCTCTCCACCGACCCAACTTCAGGCATTTCGCGTGAATCTCACGCTGAGTCTTTGCATACCATAAACCCAAGTACACACTCTTGCTCATCGAGGCGCAGATTCACGCTTCTATCAGTTAATCACTTTCTACGGGAAAGAAAGATTTTTCGGGAAAAACTCGTAACCCGCAAAGCGATGCAGTCGAGTCGCACGACATTCCGTTTCCGTCGATCCCAGAATTGCATTATCGGTCAAAAAGGGAAACGGAGACAGGCGATCTGGACAAGTAAAGGACAATGATGAAACGATGAAACGATGAAACAGTAACGTGTTCTTTTATTACTTTATTGCAGCAACGGCGGCATGGCCGAGGCAGGAGCAGCCCTGTCCGATAGCCGGTGACTTCTGCATGAACGGTGGTACCTGCCTATTTTTCGAGACGGTCGGTGAACCAGCTTGTAGGTAAGTCTCTTTCTCTTTCTCTTTCTCTCTCTCTCTCTCTCTCTCTCTCTCTCTCTCTCTCTCTCTCTCTCTCTCTCTCTCTTCCTTTCACTCTTACTTTTCTTTTGCCACTTAAACTCCTGACATTGTGGACGATTTATTATTATTAACCTTGCTCGTCCCATGTTCCCTCTCGTCCATTTCTCCCTCTTTCGAGAGAAGAGAACATATCGATTTCCGAAATGGAATTAGACTAGATTCTTGTTCGGTTGCTCCGACTGACTGAAACGGAACGAAGCGGACCAAGTTGATGAGTCAAGGCTTATCTATTTCGGAAGCAAGAAAAGCACCGAACGGCCGCCGTCTCTGTTTGTCGAATGTTTTTTCCCAATTTCCTGGAGATCCTTGCCGATTTATTTGCACAAAAGATCTGGCGATGGATAAAACGGTAATGGGAAGAAAGCCTGGATAAGCGAGGGAATCCGGCATTCCCATTCCATCCTATTCCGACATATCCCGCTCCCCTTGGACTTTTGCTAATCAAATTCTTTGACCAAAGCAGATTGGCTCCGTTATCTACGTCCACAATTTCAGTTATGTTATTTACTGCTCAGATGACTTCACCCTCCACTCCATGTATCTCTATCTCAATTTCCATCTTCTCCACTTGATTCTCGTCTATCTCCCCGTGCGATGCCAATGCGTACCTTCTAAGACTTTACGAATTCTAGATATACTGACGCAAGCAGCACTTTATTGCGGCTCTTGAACTTCAATTTTTGTGCTTTCCCTTGCCATGTGCTTTTTTTCTATAAAGCACAGTAGTAATAAACACAGAGCTGATATAATTGGAGCCACTGTACCCGTTTTGTACATATTCAAAATGACTTGATGAAAACATTTTTTTTTTGCGCAGTTCCAAGAGCAGAACTATTCGTGTCTACTATTCAGAACTCTAAATCTCTTCGAAATCTATAAAATGCGATGATGTTTGAAAGAAATGGTAAGATACGGAAAATTAGCAGATCATTTCCCAATCCTGTTTTTTGGGTAAAATCGCCAAAACTATTATTAAAATGTATCAGGAAAAAGAGAAAAGAACTCCGAATTATCTCTGATCTGCTAACTTGACACGCACGATTATCGTGAGGTTCGCCTGCTTTGACGCGAACTCTTTACGGCCTACGGGAAAAGTCGTTAAATAAATTTAGCGGGTGGCACTCGCGGGGGCTGGGGCATCGAGAGTGAAAGTGCCCCTGCGGGAGCAGCCGGTGGGCAGCGGAGCACGGATAAACGGAAGTTAGGGTCGAGGGATACGGAGCAAGGTAGAGAAGGGCGGCGAAGGGGTGTTCAAGGGCCACATCTCCCTCTTCGAGTCTCGCGTCTCACTTGGCTTCTCACTTGACAAGGGTTTGTTGCCGTTATCAGAGAATCGGGTCGCAACGAGAGAACACACTGCGAGTGAGGATTTTACCTGGGAACATCAGGAGTCATTCGGTGCTGAAGGTTGGCAGGATGGAAACGTGTCGATGATCAGTCATCAATGGCAATGAAATTAGGAAATTGATCCGATCTGCTCGCGACAATAAAGACTCGAACCTCCTTAATCAACGCTCGAACGAACGAAAGTTTGGTTGAAAATCCGAAAGAAATGAACAAATGCGAGGTCTCGAAATTTCGCATTTTTCGCGTCTCTCTTTCGGCCTCCCGCATACAGTCGGCAGACAAGACGGGACCGAGTCCGGTAGTCAAAACACTCGCAGTCTTGAATCAAAGCCAAAAATCTCACTGCTCACCCAAAAAGATACACCTGGTCGGTGTAGACACACGTGCGTTGAATCGATGCGTTGAATAAAAAGTATAAGAATATCCGCGAGCCCGCCGACTTATTTATTAAACTTACGAAACAACACGTTCCTCGTGTCCACCTCCTGCCGACGATTCACGGATGCCTCCGGACGCAGTCACCACCCTCCTTTTCTTCTAATCTCAGCTACTCTCACTCTTCCATTTATTAGCGATGCCTTGACTCCTTAGCCGAAAACATTTTGCTCTTTTCTTCTTGAGTGAAAAATTAATCGAATACGTTAAGGAGAGAAAATGCTAATGTTAATGCGGCAGGGTGTTTCTGTGACGCGAGACAAATTCGCACGAAGAAACAATCATAGCAACTAATCTGGGAAATGGGGACTTCTCGGAAAATCTTTGAAGATTTGCACACTCCGCTGTCTAGGAAATTAGACAGATCCCACTCGATCCTTTTTTTTTCGGAAGGTCCGGAGATAGCAGCCCGGCCGGAGGTTAGCAGGCGTGTCCCCGTGAGCGACACTGACGTATGTTCTCGTATACATATACGTCAGTGTATTTTCTCCGGCGACAATGGGTGAGAATGGGCGAGAATGGAAGGAGGCGAGAGGGACTCTGTCATTCTACGTCACTTACAAGTGAGACGCGAGCGTAGCGGTCAATGATTCCTCGTATTGGCTCCTATTATTGTACCAAGTGAACTAACCGCAAACCACGTGGCAGACGTTCGCCATATGGAACCCACTGACACGAAAACTTTTCAAACACTGAGAGTCCAACCACTTCCCGTTGAGCGCTATTCCCGTATTGTCCTAAAAGAAATCGACATTCTAATTCTATTTTCGATTTGTAATCGGCCGCTCCCGTCCCCAATCCACATACCAAAACGACCGACTCCCCGCAGAAAAGGAGCTACTTTGTTGTCTCACACAACTTTCCTAGACTCCTCTCGATCAGACCAGAATCTGCATGAAATTAGCCTTTTTTTAGTCAGAGTCTCCTCACAGTAAAAAGGCTTGTGAATTCAGGAGGCATCAAAGATTCTTCATAATCTGATTGCTACCTCGCTGGCTTCCCCTATAAATCCTATTCTCAAATCTCACTACTCTATGCGTAACCGCCCAACGCCAATCGCCAATCGCCAATCGCCAACCCTAATAGAAAATGCTCAAGCGTATCCACGCTTTCCAGCACTGTTTCCGGCCAACCGGCATCCCCGACATTCTAAATTTCTCGCTCGATCCCAATAAGACTTTTTATCGTTATTAATTATAACATAGCTATTTTATGTCTACCATAAGTACACACTGTAAAAACGAGAAATCGTGAGCCACGACCAAAGTGTAGAAGACACGTGTGGTCTAAGCACTATCATAGAATATCAATCGTTCGAATCCACGTGTCTCATTGACTTGTCCGAGACTTTAGCGCTATAGTGTTTCATCCCTTAGGACACCTCACTCAAGTGACTCTCTCTCTCTCTCTCTCTCTCCCTCTCTCTCATGAACATTTGAAGTCTTCTTCGGTCGTAAAAAGAGTGAATCAACGGCAGAGTCTCCACATGCATTGCAAAACCTTTGACAACGAGCAACTACAGTAGACTACAAAATTGCCCTTGTTTTCTTAAGTAATAATTCAACCAGTATCGCTGCCTTATTTATCATCACCGGTGGTAACGTTAACCCGATGCTGGAATGCAGGAATATATGTGCTCGTAAGCAGCACATACGAGCAACTAAGTAACCTAGTTGGAACTGGAGAAGCAACTAGGCTACGCGAACTAGAGTACGTTTCGAAATAAAATACGCTCTATTATAGCCCACCAGCAGCCTGGTGCCTCCGCTTCTACGATTCCGCGGCCTTCCCCGCTTCTGTGTCTATCTCCACTTCCGCCTCTTTCGCTTCGATGCTGGCATCGGTTCCGGCTGCGGTTCTGCATCCCTTCACCTCCTTTACCTCCTTTACCTCTTCGCCACGATTCAGCTCCATCCACCTCAGTCCACCTACATTCGCAACTTCTCGTCTGTTTCCTTCATCATGGCAAAGTGTGCGGCAAAAGTGCCACCACTATGCCAGTAGCTGCGCCTCGCTCACAGTGACCCTTGAAATTGCGTTTTGCGGAAGTGTTATTAAACTAACAACACCGCGAGAAAATTTATTTGACTAGCGATCTGTTGGTGCACGGATTAATACGTAATTCCTAGAAGTATTTGCGAACGGAACCTTCCCACATTTTCACAGCAGAGAATATACTTTAGAAACGAAGACTTGCGCTCATTGTCCATTGAGTGATTGATTCTTTTGTGACTGTTGGTTTTCTGGTGCTGCTTAAGTTACGCCGTGCCGTTAAGACTCGAACGTTAAAGCCAGACTAATTTTCCATTCGGTCGGTCAGAGTAAATCGGTTCGGTTCTCAGCTTGCAGCTTACGTGAATAACGTACGCACCTATTAAGACAAATCTAGCGAATTTAGCGAAAGGATATTGCTGATCCATTTTTTAAGATGCAGGTTGGATTTAATGGAAAGTAGGATTTTTGAATAAGTGATAAGTTTCGCGAGTCTGGTCGTCAGGCTCAGTAGACGGGTCGGACGTGGTGAGACGTGATGAGACGCGGTGAGACGCGGCCAGACGCAATAGATGCGGAGCTCGTAATTCCTCGGGATAAAAATATGCTTTATCACACGGGAGCAAACCCGCGGACGGTGGCTCTAGACTAGAGCAGCTTGACCGACCGGTTGATGTATCGTGGCTATCGGAGTGTGCATGCCACGTAGTTATTTAAGCGAGATATAAATAACTCTGCGGCATTGAATTGATCCCGGACAAGCGAGCCGCGTAAAACGTGCGACCGTAGAGTCGCTGGAGCTACCGAGTATCCCGATGTGTCTGTTCGAAAAGCAATTGGAGGCAACGAGAAAGAATAAGCCGATAGTAACGCGCATTGAGAGAGATGAATTTGTATTTAAAGACTACAAGAGGCGAGAAAGGGATGACGCTAACGGACGAATGCTTCGTGTGTTTCAGATGCGCCGAGGGCTACACGGGTCAGCGCTGCGAAAGAAAGGATGTCATCAGCAACGGAAGTGTGTACAACCGTCATAGGACGCCATTTTCCTGCAGACTGGGAATGTCCACCTCGTACTACTGCTAGCGATAATGATGAGGGGTCCCAATAAGTAAACCTTATGGCGTTCCCCTTGGCTAAATTCTGTAGAAGCGATGCGCGAAATGCGACGAGGCACGTTACGGAAGGTCAAGCAGTTGAACCGTCCTCCAAGTCCCTTGCTCTAGATCCGCATCCTCTCTACGAACAGCATACCAAAGAGTCCCGATCACGACGATTAGTTGCAGGACCACACGATCGGTATAACGACGAGAGACACGCGCCACCGACATTCGAGGACATTCGAGGACATTCGAGGACATTCGAGGACATTCGAAGTAGTGAGAAACGTCATTGCGAAGCTGAGCGTTCGTGCTTTGACACATTAGAGAAATATTCGGGATTTCGTCGATTTTAACGGAAACGAAGTGCGGATCACCGAACGCTTCTCTCGCCTGAATTCTACTTCGAGTTCGAACGTATAATAGCTTCGATCACACCGCGATTACCGCGACGTTCAGCGAATTCGTCGGCAACTTTCTCGAAGTCAGAGTTCTCTTCGACGATCACGACACCCTTTCCTAATTTCACTCGATCACTATTGACCTCTCAGGATTGCAATCAAGGAAGGGGGGGGGGAGAGAGAGAGAGAGAGAGAGAATGCAGATTGACTCATTTAAAAAGGAGCTTTCGGGAAGCGAACTGTTAAAATTGCACGATTCACATATTTATAGTACCAAGAAACTGAAAGCCAGATTCAATGAGACTTGCGCAATGTTCTTCGTTTATTTTCTTCCGTTTCAATTTACCATTTGATCGCGTGCCCATTCGGAACCACAATTTTAGTATTTTCACATTTTTCTACACCCGTAGGCCAAAAGATACCTCACCATTCTGGCTCTTTGTCAGTTATTTAAAAGGTGGTTCAGTGTACGTGCAACTTTTTCACAACTTCCCGGTCGAAGCGCTCAGTATTTTTATAATTTGAGGCAAATCGCATGCGCACACACAGCACTGTGTGTATTGGCGTGTGTGCGCGCGGGTGAATATGTGTGAGCTAGTGCACAACTATATGTATGCGCTGGCGTAAAAGAATCAGAGAGAATTTAACAAGAATTTAGCAACGAAGAGAGAGAATAGCGAATTGGTGCGTTAGGGAAGCTGTGAAAGAGGAAGAAAGAGAAAGTGAATGATTTTGCAACGAGAAAAAAGACCTTACACCATTATCGAGTTATGTGCGCTGTGCTCCAGCGGTCTTGGGATCCTATTTATGTTTTATATTATATATTATATATATATATATTATATTTATACATATAATATAATATATATATACATATAATATATATATATAAAAATTTGTATAAAATTTTTAATTTATTTATTTAATTCATTAATTTTATTGATTTACGATTAAACATGATCTTCAGCTCCTCAACTGTCTCTTTGCTTTACTTCATTTTTATCATGTTGGCCCACAGTGGCGCGCGAGCGTGTGTGCGTGAGCCTGCGTGTATATGCGTGCGGCTGTGCGTGTGTGCGTGCGCGCGAAAAAGGTGAGTGACGACGCCGAAGGAGAAGGTCGAAGGGTGACGTCACTATAGAGCTGTAGAGCAACCCGGGACCTCAACGTCCCAGCCAGCAGTTTGCCCGCACGGCGCTTATCCACTTGGCCACGGGAGGTTTTCGAAATATCGCGTTAAAACGAAACACGTGATTATTCCAAGACGACCAACAGCTTCCATCGAGCTTCCCGTGGCTGCATTCCTCCCTGAAAGATCCATTCCACAGGACGTTTATTCCCTCTCCGCTTTCATCCACCCACAACACATGAGATTCAGCAGAATTCAGCAGAATTCACGTGGACGGAACATTTGAAATGTCGGAAAGCCTGAGTCGCGCACTCTCCTTCGATTTTCCACGACGCTTCTACATACATGCACATCACTTCCTTGGATCCTGCTCACGCTGGACGTTCGCTTTCTTATTATTTCATCCATCAAGGTAGGTGCATTGGTTATTTTTTATTTATGTTTTAATTAACCTTTCGCAATTAATTAGCATCCCCTCCAGTCTACTAATTGAAAAATTAATCATTCTTCTCGATCTACCAACACTCGAACCAAGAGAGAGGTGGGAGTTTTCGGATTTTCACGTAGTTCAGGACGACGGATTGTAAAAAAGAAAAATATAAACTTTTCGTTTGGTCGTGTCTGATTCCTAATATCACATGCATGCGCACATGCACATGTAGTGTACACTAACGACTAATGCGCTAACTTAGGCCCCAATTTCACTGCAACTGGTAAAGACGACGTCCGCGTAACGTCATTTAATAACATTTTTACGAACGAATAGCACGCAGCAGTTAAAGATTTTTCAAAGGGCAATAAAATCCGCCTGTAAAGTAGTAAGAGGGCACGTCGTAAAAACCTAAAACCCTAAAAATCCGTTCACCTGGTAATATCGATGTTGTGTTTCCGTTATCGCGTTTCATCAAAGTTCGATCGTAATTCTCAGAAGCTCTTGGAAGATTTGTCGAAATTGACGTTCGAGTCGATTAGCGTGTTTGTACAAGCAACGCCGAAAAGACGATGCTCCTCGGATGAACTATTTGCAAATTATTCGAATTAGCTGGATGAATTTGAAGGGACGATTCGCGCGACGCGAATGTCGACCAAAATGATAACGCGAGCAGATTGACACGTTCGATGCGACATGGCCGAATGACGGCCCAGTCACGGCCCACCGGTGGCCACGCTCCCATGTTAATTCAAGACTCTTTTCCTTTCCAACCAATATCTTAATTGGGGACCTCGATAGAGGAAAACTGTGCTTCTGACATAAACACACAGTTCCGCGACTAACTGTCTAGACTCTACAAGACCTCCTTAGGTAACATCTTCCTTTCTTCCTTCTCTTCTCCGAGGCTCTCGAGAAAGCGCTGACCCGCAGGAAAAACTATAAATCCAATACGTGATTCCCCGAAGAAAATCCTTGGAAATTGTAGCCACGCACGTGCCAACACCCACAAAAACTCTCTTTCTCTCTTCCTCCTGAACGATCAAAGTGACTCGGCGCTATGGACACCTAGAAACGTACCTTGGCTTTTACTTTGATTTCTACTTAACGATTACCGGCAGATACTTGTACAGTTGTGTGGTTGTTCGGTCGAAAAGCGAAAGATTGCCAAGTTAGTTTCTATTGGAAGAAGGGAATCTGCCATTCGGCCTTAATCGCGTCGACGTACGAATCGTAGCGTCTTCGATCGACCTAACGTACAAACTCGCGCCGCGTCTTTCGAAATCGAATTAATCGAAGAAACGGCGTTAGCGGTTCCGACGACTTTTCATGGGATTGCTGCGTACACGTTTAAAGAGTTCAAGCGCATCGGCGTACGTCGCTCGAGCGTATGGAATTGGAAAACGATCGAGCCAGAAGGGCCGTCACCTCGAATAGTTGGCTAATCGTTACTGCCAACTAATTTCGCACTACTGCGGTTTACATTAGTTACATTCGCCCAGGCTGGATGCAAACTAAAATCAGCCAGTAACGATGAGGTGACCTGCATAAATACCGAACGGCCGCTAATCAATTATGTCGAATTGCAGAGAATTTTCAATGGCTCCGCGAGCGCATTATCGTACGAATTGACAATAGGTTGATTAGCGATACTCGATAATCGTGATTCCGTGATCGTGAATCCCAATACGCGAGTGCTAATTCGAACGAATCGCCATTAAAAAACTTATACAATGTATGACATGCATGTTGCGCGAAGACGAAGTCTCTCGCAGAGTACGAAAGCGCTCGAGTGTTTGGCGTGTAGTGGAGTTATAAATATGTCCCTGAACGATTTAATCGTAAGCACAGCCAAATGCTGAATCTTGAGATAACGAAATCAAAGATCATCTTCCCCGATACAGGCCGATTTCCGGATATCTTTCATCTCCGAAGGAGTGAATACATCGGTGTGCTAGAACCTATACGCTTCTTTCTCCTCCTCGCCCTTCTCTATCTGCCCTCTCTCTCCCGCTCCAGTCTTATTACGAATTCCGTCTCACTCGTTTTAAGCCCTGGTGATCCTAATACGCTCTTGGCTAGCATTTGCATGAACGAGGGATTGATCGTGGGTTGCGATATCGCGAATTCGCTGGAATCCAGGTAAACGCGAATCTTTCGCCGAAGATTGATTCCGCGCCTGAGCGCCTGAGCGCCTGAGAGCCTGGGCGCCTGAGCGCATGGACGTCGCATTCGAAGGCCGTAAGATTCTCCTGGCTCTTTCGAAAACGACCGCGCAGCTTGTACTATCTTTGCTGGTTCGTTATATTGAACTTGAACCCTTTGGGAAATTGTCTATGGGTGGTCCTTAGTCTCGATCAAGCGTGAAATGTAGTCTGATACGTATTACCATGTCCGTGCTAGGCGAGCCCACAACCAAGGAGCCAAGGAGCCAAGGAGCCAAGGAGCCAAGGAGCCAAGGAGCCAAGGAGTCTATCGGTTGTTCTTCCCATCCTGTTCCCTTATTCACTCGCCTTATTCACTCTCCTCGACCGTCCTCTGCTTCTGAGCCATCCGTCTAGTCTTCAACGGTGTTCTCGTCGAAGCGCTGGGTCACCGCGTTGCTAAATGGCTGATTCACGAGAATCAGAAATAGAACGGCCTGCTCCCAACTCTTGGGTAACGGCTCTCGTCCCATTATGAGCGTCGGCGTTGGAGTCAGGCGTCGGCCAATCAGGATCTTGCCGTAGTACGAGGGGTAAAGTTTCCCCTTTCCTTCCACCTTTCTTCCACCATTTTGTCCCTTTCGACCACTCTACACTTTCACTCTCCAATATACCAAATAATTTGAAATTTCTCTCTTTCATTCAAGATATGGATAAATTCTCCTCGTTCGCCGAGGACGTGACGCTCGCCCGATTCTAGCGCATCTAGCGGCACTGTCAAGGTAAATCAGAAATTTCCCTCTCGTTTTTCATTGCTACCAATTCGCTTCCATTTCCGCGCATCGGCATCCATCCACCGTCGACCGTCGACAGACGACCGACCCTTTACCCTGAGAAAAAGAAGCAACTTGATCGCATCGACAAGCGACACGTCTTTAACAGTAGACACTGAGTCATCGGACGGCGCGGCAAATTTCCACTGATATTTCACCTCTTCCATCAATTTATCCACTACTCTCGGAACTTTAAACTTGCAACGTGATCAGCAATCAAGAACGAACGAAAGACAAAGTTCACTTTGCTTTCAGCAATTCACGAATATTGTCCAATTATGAAAAAAAAAAAAAAAAACTTGACTCTTTTCCTTTTCTTATGCTTCCAGCTTGCACATCGGGACATTCATCGTGTTTTGTCTTATTGTAGCCTTATCCTCGTTCGGCCCGTTCCTCCTGTTCGGTACATGTCCCTCACTCTCTAACAATGGGATTGACTTTTCATCTCTTCACTATCATCATCCTCCTGACCCTCTCGTTCTCCCTTTTTACTGTCATACCGTTTATAATTTTTCCGCAGTTTCCTTCGTGCTGGAATGACACAGAGAAAGAGAAAGAACAAGAGTTTCCAGTACCTTGGTACGTCCCAGCCTCCTCTTTGCACCTTTACTTTTTTTTTTTTTCACATCATAGAGTCTACTTTCCACTTCACGTTTTCCAAATTCGCCGTTTTCATTCAACTTGATGAGAGGTGTCGGTGCTATTGCTGCTTTGACGAGGTAAGTTCGCAACACGTCTTGATCTTACTTGCTTGCTCTTCTAAAAAGCGCTCTGGAGGAGGAGGAGGAACGTTTTTTTTTTTAAGTGTTAAAAAATAAATATTTTTAAACATACTAACTATAGGAGCCATACTTGATCGTCGGCTGGAAGGAGGATGGGCGGGAGGGGGGCAGAAGCGACACGACCTAGGGTAAATTGACCGTAACGCAAAGAACGGCGGGTTGTACGAAGGCTCGTTAGTACCCTAATCACTCGTAAGCCCGTAACGTCTCAATTCGACGCTCTCGGAAAGTTGGCGACCAGCCCTTAGGACTTGGCGCGAATTCGCACCCCGGATAAACCTAATGATTCGAGTTAATTTAAGTCCCCACGGCGTCTTGCTCGTATTCCCGTAGAGCTTCTTGGACAGTGCGACTCCAGAGGGGAATTAGTGGCCCCTTTCGACTTTCCCAAGTAAGCTAGAGGACTTCTCCGTTACCCGCGACACTGTCCCTGGCTCCTTCGTCTTACAATTAGATAACCGTCCGCAATCCACGCATCACTGATGTCTAATGAATATTGATGGTAATATCTATTTTTGAGTCTCAGAAATTCGTGCACATTCCTACTGTAGCATTTTAATTCTCAACCGTAATTCACTTGACAGAGGCTCGTACAATTATGTCTTCGGCGCTTCTCTTCTGCTCCTTTCCTCCGAAAAAACAAGAAGCACATTTATACAATATTTGTATCACTCGTTTGAGCAGCATTTCAAGTTCCTTATTTAATCCATAAAATGAGATTGATCGATAATCGTTCTTTTCGAAGTAAAAACATCGAGTGAACTATCGTTACACCGAATGCACGAATTCGATCAACCACAACCCATACACTGTCTAGGACCTAGGGACCAGAAGATATTCTATTATCACAAACATTTTAGAAAAGTCCTCGGAATAAGAGGACCTTGGCTTATGTTTCTTCTTCCTTTTCTCCTCCTCACTCTCATTCGCATCCTCGTATCGCTACGTTCTGCCAGCTAGGACTTACAATTAGATTGGACGAAATTACACGAAAGTAGTCTCATCAACATCGGCACCTGTTGGTGTCCCCGTTAGCAGCACTACTTTTAACGACACTTCTATTTTATAGGATGTTGCAGTCCACAAGGGCGAATTTCATCAGCCGACGCGACAGCCGTCACAAGCAGTAAGAAGCTCAAGCATTCTCCAGCAATTTATATTAAGTGTGAGCGTCGATCCATCGAAGAAGCATCGTGCCTTTCGGAATCCTAATGCGAATGCATTGGTTCGCTTCCTCGTCATCGTCATCGTCATCGTCATCGTCCTCATCCTCGTCCTCATCCTTGTCCCCTCGCGACGCACTTCACTGTGACTCTTTCCGTAAAACGGGGCCAGAGACGTAAGAGAGCCACTGGACAATGGGTGCTTCCTCCAAGAAGCGCGGTGAGCAGCGCTGTACTTTGCATGTCCTCAGCTTAGTATCCTTTTCCTTATTCCTTAGAGCGAGCGCGTCCGCTCTCGGAACGCAGGAACGTAGGGAGCACTTGCGAGAGGACGAGAAAGAGGAAAAGGAAGACGCAAGAGAAGTGAGGAAAATCGAAGCAGTGACTGGTTGCGACTGAACCGCGAGGCCGGAAGAGAAGCTCTGCCCATTGAGGAGGATATACTCTGTTATAAGTAGTTTATCTCGGTGAGCGAGAGAAGAGAGTGTGACTGCAGGAAAAAGGAATGCTTTCGAGTTCTATGCCAAAGAGTACGAGAGATGTCCGTGCAAGCTTACTAGTGCCGCCATACTTGCGTTCATTATGTTACGTTGAACGGATCGTACTACCAATACTTATCGATCCATCCGACGAAATATTCGATACACAAAAGTTCACTTACGATTAGCTCAATTAGGGCTCGTTTAAGCTGCTTCTTCTCCTACTGTGAGAGAAGGGACGACGAGCCTTCTTACATGTGTACTTAGAATATTTAGGGAATAACGAATGTCCGGAAAAAGAATGACTCTTCGAGGACGACTTTTTAGTTATAATTGAGGATCTTGTGGAGCGAGGTTCCCGACATCTTATTAGACCTGTACGAAATATGCTGACGAGTTTTAGCCGCAGACGGAACATGAAAACTGACTAATACTCTACTACAAATCAATCTGAAATAATCGTTTTCTTCAGGAATGACAAGGTTATTTCGATTTTGTATTATTTTCATAAGAAATTGCTAGCTGACACGGCTCAACACCATTCGCGTATTCGCATATACGAGCGCAGAACGTTGACTGTGCTAACGCCAAACATTCTCCACGCTCCAGAATAGCCTTAAGTAAAATGTGTATGAAGACAGTAGCCGACTGGGCATTTAGTTCTATAAGCATTACGCACCGCGAGATAATGTCGCAGCGATTGCGTGTGCAAATGAGTCAAACTCAAAATCACTCGGTCGATGAAACAAGAAACACAGAAGAGAAAACGCTTATTCCTTTTCTCCTCTGATTTTTCAATGAAAAGATCGAACGACACGCAACGTCCAATTAAATTTTAAGCACGCTATGTACAATATTGTATATTATTTAATATTATTTATTTGATGATGTTTTTACTAGAAACGCGTTTGTACTGTATCCAATCTTAAGAATAAGGTAATATAAAGTGAGGCGTCGCAGGTGCTTTATAATTGTCTAAGGAGAAACCAGTCGCGAGATCACAGAAAATGGATCCTGATGTGCACCAGTATCGAATGGTCTTCCCTTATGCAGTAATCAACTAATCTGAATCCGAATATAGCTCCACGTTGAAATATCCGATAAAAAGAGGAAAAATTACAGAACCAAAAACCACATAGTATCCTATAAACTGTATGCACTTCTCTTTCTACGCTGTTTTTGGTTTCAAATTTATATGTACATCTCTCTCTTTTTATTCAATATTTCGAAGAGAGCTAACTTTCCAGTGCTTCGCAATCGATAGAAGAAGATCCGACAGTTAGGACCTTTGCAAGTAACTTCTCTCTTAGAGACTAGCCATGACATAATGTAGCTGCGAAGGAAGACGTTGCTGTCCGTTCCATTCGGTTCTACTGTGGTAGCCAGAAAGTGCACTATTAATAGAGATTAAGAATTATTCTAGAAGCACAAAGTATTAACAATATAATGCAACTATTGTAAAAGGGCATGATGATTGTAAAGACATAAAGGTAATAGTCCAGAATCAATGTTTCCTATTGATCTTTGTCTTTGAAATGATGAAAGAGAATAGATATATTATGTTACCATTATTGAATTGGAGAGGTTTTCCTCTTCTTCCTCAGTCACAATTATTCCTATCAATTTTTGTATTACCGATGTACAACAGGCACCAGCTTTTTAATAATGCTCTGCTAAAGAACAGCGAGAAGAACATGAAAGTTAGGTAAGGCAGAATTATGTAAAAAGAAAAGAAAAACGAAGATAGCTCACACAGAATGTGAGGAGTACTGAAGAGTATTGCAACTGCTGAAGTCATCGTAGACAACACAGATCTTAGGATGCCTTGCAATGCCATGCAGCGATTCACAACGGCTTATGCTTGAAATCGCCATTACATTTATCATGTTCAGGTCTGTTGTTGCGCTTAACAATACAGTCTTCCGAAGTCCTCTTCAGTTCATGTGGGCAATCAGTTAGCAGGGTTTACTCTAGGCAAAGGAACACTAATGTTACATCTTCAACACTTCATTTTAGGGGACTCTGGACTTCTCATTATCACGCGAGTAAAATGTAAACGGAAATCGTAAACAACACGTTTTTGACAGATATTATATTATATTATACAGATAACAAGGTTAAAAATCGTTTTGACACCACTTTGGCCAGAATTAATTCAAAATTAAAAGAGTAAATAAACTAAAAACTAAAAGAGATTGTTAATCTTGCAAAGCGTGAGCTAAACACCAATTTTGAGAGAAAATCTGTAAAAATTCTTATTTACGATTTTCGTTTACATTTTACTCGCGTAGTAAATAAAAGAGCTAGAATCCCTTTAACTCCAGCTATATGTTCATTGTGATCACTCATTCTGTTTCAATAAAGATCCATTAATATCCATTTCAGTTTCCCTTGTATGTACTGTTCCGTATAACGTGCGCACGCAGTATGACAAAAGTATATTTATTTTAAAAAACGCTTACAAAATTACAAAATATTAATTTATAGATACAGATTATGTGAATATCATGAATATTCTACTCTCATGATGGAAGCAAAGTTATTCGATAAGAATCCTTTAATGAATCTTCCATGGAATGAAAAAGAGCAAAATGTCAAAATATTGAACTAATTTCAACGTGTGGATGCATTCCCTACCTTGAAACTAAAAGCCACAGGTTTTTTACATTTCATTGTATATATTTCAGCATTAGAATTAATTGTTTTTGTAGCTGACTATCGTATCCATTTTGTGTATAGAAGTTGAAAATGATCTAAGTTGCACTTCTTGACTATTAGCAATAAACACAGGTTGAGTTTCATCCCACTCTTTTGGAATTCCACAGTCAGGCACAGTATAAGTCAAAATATCAAAGGAGCACAAGCAATCCAACAAAGGTAAGAAACTTACAGTACCTGAAAATATTTTACATTAATTAAAAAATAGGTGCTATTTAACATATTTGTTTTCGAAGGTACATGGGGATCATACCAGTAATTTGACGAATCACTTCACGTATCTCCTTCTGAATTGTTTTGACATCCTTTGTACCCACTTCTGGTAAAGGTGAATCTCCTCCAGCCATAATAGTAACAGTATTTGAAACTGGTGCTTCATAATCAACCTTGAAATCCCATTTTTCTAACACTTCCTTTGTATTTACATTTGTTATTACCAAAGTTAATTTATACACTTTTTTTTGTACTAGCCACTCCTCAACTTGACCTAATACAGTTGCCAGAAAAGACTTAATTTTATCATCCGTAGACATCAGAAAAAATAGACCAAAATGTTCAGCTGGTTCAAAAGTTTCTGGTGGATATATTCCTCTCTGATAAAGTATGCTGTTGATGCCATAAACTGCAACGAAGTGAATAATGTTTCGAATCAAAGAGTAAACGACATACAATACTCTCAACGAAAAAAAATATTATACCTTAAAATATCAGGCACAAGTACTTACGTAGATATTGTTTCACAAGCTCTGCAGAGCCTTTCAACGTGATACACTTTGCTTTTTGTTGAGTTTCTGTCATAATTCCCAAAAACACGACAGTATCAATTACTAATTTTTACGTAACGAAATTGACTACAACTGAGAGTCCTCGAGGATTATCAGAGGATGCAGGAAACCGGCTCTTTGAGTTTCAACGAATTTGAATGTGTCCAATAGCTCTGCAGGTTATCCAGTCCACGTCCAGAGCTACCAACCCCGCCATGTTCAATTATAGTAGGAATTAGTAGAAGTTCATACGACGGGTCCTGCACACCACAAGCAGCAGACAGTGACCAGTGAGAAAATAGCATCCAGCTATGACGTCAGAGATTGAACCCAAAGCATCAACCCCATTGGCCGCTGGTAGTTTTCTTTGGCGTCTCTAGCTCCGTATACTTGTACGTTTTTACAGTTTTAAGAAGCGTTCCTCTACCATGTATTATTATTACTATATCTACCATCTTAAGACTGTGCTTCGCCTAAAAAACTGACTATAAATACGGACCGAGGAGTTTACAGAAGGGCGTTGGCAAAATCTATGGAGTAGATAAAAATTGAATTGAAATTGTACAATATCGAAAATAAATTACGTTCAAATTGAAATATTAATAAATTAGGTGTTTTGAACATGAAAATAATTAATTAAATCAATAAAGTAAAATATTAACATTTAGAAATCGGAAATTCTGGCAAAGCATATTTAGAAGTATTGGAAGTTGCCCAAAATTGTGTGCGCGCAAATTCGACGCGCAGGACTCGGAGAGTGGTGGGAGCGCTCGAGACAGCGCCCGCACTCGGAGCGCTCATTCTTCCTCGAGCCGGTCTCCTATACTGGTGTCTTGGAAATACCCCTCATATTCATTTACAACCTTCCTCCTCTTCTTCTTCTATATTTATTTCTTCATTAATTCCTTGTTTCTTTATCTTTCATTCTCCACTTTTATAACTCTATTCCTTACTTTTATACTTCTTCACTTCTTTATTACTATATTCATTTCTTTATTATTTTCACTTATTTAATTTCTTTCTTATTATCTTATTCTCACTTCTTTATTTCTCTATCCATTTCCAACCTTCTTCGTCTTTTATATTTATTTCTTCATTAATTCCTTATTTCTTTATATTTCATTCTTTAATTTCTCACTTATCTCTTTCCATGTTTCTCCTGTACTTATATAACTCTATTCCTTACTTTTCTACTTTTTGACTTCTTTATTTCTATCTTCATTTCTGATTTCTCGTTTGACTCTGTTCGCTCTCACTTTCCATTGTGCTCGTCTTACTTTTCCTATATTTATTTCATCTTTACTTTCTGATTTATCTCTTTCCTTATTTCTTCTCTACTTTTATACCCCCCATTCGTTACTTTTCTATTTTTTAACTTCTTAAATTTTATCTTCCTTTATAACTTCTCGTTTCACTCTGTTCCCTCCCTCTTTACATTGTGCTTGTCTTACTTATCCTATTTCCTTGGTCGGGTCGAGCATATTAATTCAAGTAGTCATATAAGAGTAGTCATCCGGTTAGTGCAGCTAGACTTAAGACCATGGTGTCGGGGGTTGCCCTTCCGCCTCATCCGCTGAGCTTGCTCAGTGGTTGGTGGCCCAAGTTGTGGCCGCAACAGGACCTTATGGGTCTCCCGACGGGGGCCTTGAGCCCCCTTAGGGTATCTACGGCCATGGTCTTTCGTATAGTGAATCTAGCCAGGTGTCTAGCTCTCGCGTATTTAGTATAATTTGTTCGCTTTGCTAAAAACGTCCCAACATGTCTTGACCCTTGGGCACTTGTGTGGGTAGAGACGATCCTATTTGTCCGGGGGGAGGTCGGAGGGGTAGTCCGTTGACTTTGGGTAAAGTCCTACTTGTGCTTGTGCTTGGGGGTCACTTCACTTGGGATAGGTGCGGGTGCTATTGAGCACCCGCTAGTATAAAGTCACCCCCTGTCGGAGACATTTTGCGCGTGGATCGATGGCTAACGGGGCCCGCCGCCGGCGGCGGGCGTGGTTCCTTACGTCTAACCCACTGGGCTCGCCCGTGGGAAGGGACGGAGGTTGTAGCGTTAAATATCGTCCTTCCGGATGTCCCGGCGTGCCCGCAAGGGTTCGCTGGGTGCTACGCCCGCGGTCTTTCGTTGCGGTGAATCTTGACTAAGGGTAGACCTTTCGCGTTTAACTTGTCCCTTTGCGCGTTTAACTTATCTTAGCTTTTTCGCGTTTAACTTATCTTAGCTTTTTCGCGTTTAACTTATCTTAGCTTTTTCGCGTTTAACTTATCTTAGCTTTTTCGCGTTTAACTTATCTTAGCTTTTTCGCGTTTAACTTATCTTAGCTTTTTCGCGTTTAACTTATCTTAGCTTTTTCGCGTTTAACTTATCTTAGCTTTTTCGCGTTTAACTTATCTTAGCTTTTTCGCGTTTAACTTATCTTAGCTTTTTCGCGTTTAACTTATCTTAGCTTTTTCGCGTTTAACTTATCTTAGCTTTTTCGCGTTTAACTTATCTTAGCTTTTTCGCGTTTAACTTATCTTAGCTTTTTCGCGTTTAACTTATCTTAGCTTTTTCGCGTTTAACTTATCTTAGCTTTTTCGCGTTTAACTTATCTTAGCTTTTTCGCGTTTAACTTATCTTAGCTTTTTCGCGTTTAACTTATCTTAGCTTTTTCGCGTTTAACTTATCTTAGCTTTTTCGCGTTTAACTTATCTTAGCTTTTTCGCGTTTAACTTATCTTAGCTTTTTCGCGTTTAACTTATCTTAGCTTTTTCGCGTTTAACTTATCTTAGCTTTTTCGCGTTTAACTTATCTTAGCTTTTTCGCGTTTAACTTATCTTAGCTTTTTCGCGTTTAACTTATCTTAGCTTTTTCGCGTTTAACTTATCTTAGCTTTTTCGCGTTTAACTTATCTTAGCTTTTTCGCGTTTAACTTCACCTTACCCCCTTGTGCGTTTTTCTTGTCCCTCGACCCGACTTCCTTCCCTTCCTGAGGTTTTTCCCCCCTAGTCCTGTGCGCGAAAGCCGCAGGACTCGGGGGTTTTCCTCAATAAAAAAGCAAAGCGAACAAATTATACTAAATACGCGAGAGCTAGACACCTGGCTAGATTCACTATACGAAAGACCATGGCCGTAGATACCCTAAGGGGGCTCAAGGCCCCCGTCGGGAGACCCATAAGGTCCTGTTGCGGCCACAACTTGGGCCACCAACCACTGAGCAAGCTCAGCGGATGAGGCGGAAGGGCAACCCCCGACACCATGGTCTTAAGTCTAGCTGCACTAACCGGATGACTACTCTTATATGACTACTTGAATTAATATGCTCGACCCGACCAAGGAAATAGGATAAGTAAGACAAGCACAATGTAAAGAGGGAGGGAACAGAGTGAAACGAGAAGTTATAAAGGAAGATAAAATTTAAGAAGTTAAAAAATAGAAAAGTAACGAATGGGGGGTATAAAAGTAGAGAAGAAATAAGGAAAGAGATAAATCAGAAAGTAAAGATGAAATAAATATAGGAAAAGTAAGACGAGCACAATGGAAAGTGAGAGCGAACAGAGTCAAACGAGAAATCAGAAATGAAGATAGAAATAAAGAAGTCAAAAAGTAGAAAAGTAAGGAATAGAGTTATATAAGTACAGGAGAAACATGGAAAGAGATAAGTGAGAAATTAAAGAATGAAATATAAAGAAATAAGGAATTAATGAAGAAATAAATATAAAAGACGAAGAAGGTTGGAAATGGATAGAGAAATAAAGAAGTGAGAATAAGATAATAAGAAAGAAATTAAATAAGTGAAAATAATAAAGAAATGAATATAGTAATAAAGAAGTGAAGAAGTATAAAAGTAAGGAATAGAGTTATAAAAGTGGAGAATGAAAGATAAAGAAACAAGGAATTAATGAAGAAATAAATATAGAAGAAGAAGAGGAGGAAGGTTGTAAATGAATATGAGGGGTATTTCCAAGACACCAGTATAGGAGACCGGCTCGAGGAAGAATGAGCGCTCCGAGTGCGGGCGCTGTCTCGAGCGCTCCCACCACTCTCCGAGTCCTGCGCGTCGAATTTGCGCGCACACAATTTTGGGCAACTTCCAATACTTCTAAATATGCTTTGCCAGAATTTCCGATTTCCAAATGTTAATATTTTACTTTATTGATTTAATTAATTATTTTCATGTTCAAAACACCTAATTTATTAATATTTCAATTTGAACGTAATTTATTTTCGATATTGTACAATTTCAATTCAATTTTTATCTACTCCGTAGATTCTGCGAGATTTTGATTTAGCTTCAATTTTATGTTTTGAATAGATTTTGAAAGTAAGTCAAGATCCAATAATATTTAGAAAAATTGAGGTGTTACACGAGTGTCAAGTTGGAACTACACTCTCTTAAAAATGTCTTAAAAATGTTTCAACAATAGACTTTTTCAGTAGTTCTTGAGATGTTCTATAGTTCCCGGTCTCGTTTTAAGGCTTGTTTTGGGAACTAGCGGTGAGTAGCGGAGAAACTCTGCCCGCCATGATACTGTTCGTGGTCACGTGCAGCTCGGCTACGACGGGATTTGCATTATCGACGGAGTCAAAGATCTTAAAATCCTGCTTCCAGATTCGCCGCTACTATTTAGCGCCATGCTTTTGGTATCGCCTAAAACCGGAGCGTTGTGCATATCTTCCTACTCATCTCTGCCGTAGCGTTGTGCATTTCTCTACTCATCTCTGCTGTTAGCCGGTGTTAGCAACCTCCTAGTTGTTCGTAGCTGTTCGTTAGACGCGTCCATCATGGCATCCACTGGCGGCTCAGGTGTTTCTGCTTTGGTTTACAATTATTTACTAAAAACAGATACAACGTTTGCCAAAGTTTTTCAGAAGAAGACAAAGGCGGTGAGTATCAAAAGGAAGCCTACGAACACGTGGCACCTTCGTAATTTCCATAAGAACAAGCGTGTCGGCCTCAAAATGCCGCCTTTTCAGTGATACCACGTGGACGAATCTGTGCTCGTTTCATATTTCCACGAATATTTCTGAAAGTTGGTTAAACCTTATTACTATTATTATCTTTTGGAACTTTCATAGAATTTGCGATTTTTAAATAATTTTAAAAAACTTACACAATAATCATATACTAACAAGAGATTTGGAACACAATTTAACAGTTATAAGTATACTGCATAAGAACGTGTTCTCTGTAGAGTAATAGTGTTTAAAGAAAGGAGGATAATGTCGTATTTATTGTTTGTAGTCTCTAATGTAGGATAAGTGGAGGATGTTGTAAGCATATAGTCTTATGTTGCAGCCTCTTCTGTCCAAAGGATCTGCCACCCTGGAAGAAGTGTTTCAGCACTTTCAAAAATGTTCTACAAAGAAAGTGAATGTAAAAGCAGAAAGTAAAGATAGCACTTCAGACTCAAGTTCAGAAAGTGATGAGGAACCTCCAAAAAAAGTTAAATTGGTTAATAATAAATCTGCTGCTATTGCTGCAGTAGTGAAAAAGGAAAGACAAGAGGATTCTTCTGAGGATGAGTCTAGCAGCGAAGAGGATAAACCTCCTACCTCTGCAACAGCTAAAACTCAGCTTGCAGCAAAGGTGGCTCCTTCAAAAAAGACATCTACCTCTGAAGACAGCTCTTCGGAGGAAGATGCTCTTAAAGTACCAGCAAAATCAGTATCGATATCAACAAAGAATATTGCCAAACCAGCATCCTCTAGTGAAGAATCTGATTCTGATAGTGAGCAGGAGGAACAATCCAATACGAATGTCAAAGCAGTAATAAAGGGAACAACTGCAATCAGTACACCAAGCTCTAGTACTAAAAAAGAAGAGTCATCTAGTGAGGATAGCGATGACAGTAATGAAGTATTGCCAGTAAAAGTTGCTAAAAAACCTGCGACAAAAGCACCACCTGCGAAGCCTCCTATAACAAAAAATAAACAATCGTCTAGTGAAAGTTCAGATTCTTCTGAGGAAGAGGCTAAGGCTCCAAATTCTGTTAAAAGCGAAACTAAGTCTAATGCAAAACAGGTAGCGATGGCAGACACAAGTAGTGATTCAGAAGATTCATCAAAAGACGAGGCACCCAAATCAACAAAAGCTCCAAGCAAACTAACCACAACAAAGCATTCCTCCAAAAAGGATTCATCATCCAGTCAAGATAGCAGCGATGATGAATCGCCTGCAAAAAGGTTGAATGTTTCAACGACTGCAAAGACTGCTATACCTTCTATTAAGAAAGAAGAATCTTCTTCAAGCGAAGAAAGTAGTGACGAGGAACCACCGGCAAAGAAAGTCGCTCTTGTTAAGTCGGTTCCGAAAAAACAAGAGTCGTCAAGTGAAGATTCCGAGGATTCTGATGAAGAGAAAAAAACAGAAAAAATGTGTACAGCGAAGCCAATCAATCAAAAGAAGATGAAGGAAAGTTCGAGTGAAGAGTCTGACGAGAGTGAAGACGAGAAACCAGCAACAAAGGCGCAAGTAGCAGCAAAAGATATGACTAAGTCAGTGCCTAAAAAAGTATCTTCATCTAGCGAGGAATCGGATTCTGATGAATCTGACAATGAAAAAGTAGCATCTAATATTACTGCCAAAAACAATACTGTTAATATCGCCAAATCTACAAAATCTGTCAAACCTGCGCCCGTTAAACAAGGATTTAGCTCGGAGGGGAGCAATTCGAGCGAGAAAAAAACTCCTTCGAAAGATGGAATTCAAGGAAAACCAGAAAAGAGAAAGCGTGAAAGTGACGAAGAGAATGAGGAAGTGGAAGGATCCGGAAAGCCAGTAACAAAGATTCCAAAGAGCAACTACAGTAATTTCGTGAAGGCCAGCAATAATATTAATGGAGATAAGGTAACAAAACGTAGAAATTAATTTTTCAGTTTCATTATTTTCAATTTGTTTGTGAGATTGAATTTAATTTTCTATTATACTCATGGTTATTAGCAGCAGAAGAACGTGCCTTTTCGTCGCGTACGAGATGATGAAATCACAGTGGATCCAAAATTGGCAAACAATTCGTTCGAGGCAAAGGTAAATGTGCGGAAGAAATCAAGGAACACAGGTCACTTGCCGCTTCTCGAAAGCTCGGGGCCTTTCGCGACGTTATATTTATCGCGCTGAGGATTTAAATGGCCTTTTGTAGTTGTCTCCGTTCTGCCACATTGCAGTTTCATCATTAACATGTTCATATTTCTGCACATTCGCCATGTGTCTCGAAGCAGTTGTCGCTATACATTTTTATTGTTCTTATCCTTCTATTTGACTTTACTTTATTTTCGAATTTCATGTACACGACTGGCGGTGGCTGACCTGGTGTTCTCTTTTGTTTTAGGCGGAGAACGAGGACGGTAATGGTATTATGAAGCACGACGCTCGCGGTGGATTTAGGGGAGGCCGTGGTGGTTTTGGATTTCGGGGCGGTAGAGGCGGTAGAGGTGGGGAGCGTGGAGGGTTCAGGGGTGGCCGTGGAAGCGGCAGTGGATTCAGGGGTGGACGTGGTGGTAGAGGTGGCTTTGATGGTAGAAAGTCATGGGGCGGAAACGAAAGTGGTCGTGGTGGAAACGGTAACGGTTTCAGAAAGTCGTGGAATGGCGACGGGGAGAGAGGTGGTCGGGGTGGACGTGGAAGTAGGGGTGGCCGCGGGGGCAGTTCCATAGGGATGAACACACCAGCGCAAAACAAAAAAATCACTTTTGATGATTGAAGCGACGTGATAGACTAAGTACGACGGTGAGAGGCTTCCTGGAATGCTTGCTTTGACTCTTGACTAATTTTAATTCGTCTGTCCCGACAGAGAGGCGCACGTGGATCATGGGGAGAAAAGGCCAATTTGGATTTGAAGCACACCAAGGGCAAGTCCTTCCGACATGAGAAGACGAAGAAGAAGCGTGGTAGCTATCGGGGCGGTCAGATAGACACAAGTGTCAATTCTATTAAATTTGAGGATATGTGAGCGCGGAAAACCTGAGGAAGCCTTCTCTAGTAAAACCATGGCAGCCTGTCCGGTTGGATGATGCGGAAACACGAAGGAAGCTACTTGACATTAAGCAATATGGTGGGCTACGTAATTTCACTTGGGAATTTACGAATAGCACTCATTCGACTCACGAGATTAGCCTCTAGGTGAACTTGCGTTGCCCAAAATACAAAGCTTAGCGTTACCGGTCCTCGAATCCACGTGGTTTCTAACAAATATTATTATTGTATCATTCATTTAGGTAATAATGAAAACGTTTTACGCTGAGCAAAAGAAAAGCATCAACACACTTGAACTCAACTGCATCACACCATGCCCCTGTTTTTTTCACGATATCTAATCTAACCTAACTTAACTTAACCTTCCACCCTGCATTTTCTGTTCGCAGCAGATTCACAATTTATGTAATCTCCCTTTCCCCAGTACGAAATTAGTCCTCTGTCAAAACGAGCGGGTGAAGTATGTCAATGGACTTAAATTAACTACTATGATTTTAATATTAGACGTTTACTTGATACAAGATGCTATGTTGTTATTTGTCACATATATATTTATTAATGTTGCTCTTAGTAAAGCTTGACGAATCCACGGTACGGTTTCGTTCCTGAAGGAAATATGCATAACATTTACGCAGACACGAACATTATTAAAACCTTTTTTTAATTATATTCAGAAATGTCAATTCATCGTAAAGTTTCCATGTTGTGACTACATAGCGCAAATAATGAATTTATCAAAAAATGTACGCTGCATTTTAATGGTTTGAGCAACGAGGTTACATAGTGCCGGCTAAGGTATGACGTAATGTATGTTCGTACTGCTCAAAAGGTTAAAAAATGTCCAGAGACAATTGGAGAAAAACGTTAGGTGATATTTATTTTTTAAAGTACAAATCAAAGAGGATTTGCTTAACGGACTCGTCTATAGTATAACGATAGTGTGAAATTAAAAGCTTTTATATTCGTAACTACTTAGTTCGCAAAAACCGTATCTCAATCGGAAGACGTAAGTTTATTCGATGTCACTAAGTTACAGTAGTGCAAGATAAATAACATTCTTTGTCCAATTTTCTCCATTATACTCTTCGTGAATGAATTGGCACCAAATAAACTGTTTATGTAGCATAACAATGATTCTGCCAAAATAGTAGTAGAGTTCGTCTTTTATTTTACCGCCAAGGAGATTGCCGTTGCACAAAATTCAACAAGGACGAAGGTGCCAAGTGGTAGGTTTTAGTAAAGTATGAAAACACGTTTCATTAAAAATTTATTTAATCTCGCCCGTCTCTCGCTTTCTTGGCTCTATTTTTCATTTCTTTCTGGCCCTCTACCGGAGTACCGGATAGCGGCGCTTCCTCATTCTACGACTCCATGAGATTCCGCTCAACTCCACTACACCTGAGTCAACTTCAGACAATCCACCAGTCAATCCGTGAACGTCTCTGTGCGAGGTCGCAGAGGTTCTCGATCCCGCTCAACAACGTCCAGTGACATGAACATTAATTGAGATTCGTGCAGATTTTATAATTAGTTTTTAATGTACCATAGTTAGGTGATACAATCCATTCGTACGAGCGAAAGGACCACAAAGGATTGTTGAAATATGATGTCAGAGATAACCCCGTCAACGGTAAGTGGTTCAACATCATTGCGGAATACTCATACTTATTTAGTGCAGTAGCTAACTTATATGTACTTATGTTTTCACTATGCTTAGAATCGTGGTCTAATAACAAAAAATTGAGAGCGAATATATTCTTACATAATTTTTTTTATGAACAAAGATTTACTTTTACACGCGTTACTCTTTAGTTCGTTGTATGACAAAGTGTTTTTTATTCGATAAAAGATTTCAAAGGTATATAGGAATAGTCCTAGGACGAGATCTTCAGTTACATTTGATAATATAGTTCGAAGAATTTTCAATATTTCACAACTTGTGTGTTATCTATGTGAGCTTTGTGCCGACCTTACCATACACAAAAGGAATAACCGAGATACTTGTACCGTTATCGGCACGAAAGGCCATTATTCGATGGGACGCTGTTTAGTGAGAGAGAAAATATTAGTGATATTTTACCGTTACTGGTGGATGCTAGAGGAGCCATAAAAAAGACTTATGGAGTCTCGTCTCGAAACGTTGGCCTCACTCTCTTAATATCTATAATAACACGTGAACAAGTCAGTGGCGTTACTTCTCTTGTCTTACTTGACATACGATGGGAACGAGAAGATCGCAAGTTCAGGTCGTTCTCACGCGCGCGCGAATCCAACGTCGTCCTCTCGCTACGTGCTTCCTGCTTTCCGTATCCATTACTCAAGATACCTTTGTTATTACCCTACGTATTACGCTACTGCTGCATTACGGAATCGAAGACACATTCTTCGATAAATCTTTTCTGAATAAAATCTGCAGAATTGGAGTGTGCTTAATTGTCGATGCTAATAATGAAAGGTCAATGTTATAGCGAATAATTTCCCAAAGCGGCGCACACGCAGCCACTGCTACCGCGGTCAACGACCATATCGGGAGGTCTGCCTGTTTCATTCAATCAGGATAATCTGCAACTCACGAAAAAAATGTCTCGAGTGTCGATCTATACACACGCGCCTTTTCTGAATTTCTTAGTATTCACAAGTATAGTATGTATGAGCCTAGAACTGTGGTAGCTTTTACTTAACGTCTTTAGTGGATTTGCTACCAAACACGAGGGACGAGAGACACCGAATAACGGAAGCTATGTGGATCACAACCTAGAAACCTCGAACACGTAGGGGCGCCGCGTATATCGATTACGGCTCGCGGGCTCGCGCTGTCATTAAGGACACTTGTTTGCGCTAATCTTTTGGCAAAATTTCGCGCAAAGGACTTATCATTTGATATTCAGATGTACTACGGCACTTATCATATAAGAAGATACTATTCTGAAAAGAACCTTTCTTCTTTGTTCCTTCTAGAAGATGATTCGTAGGTTCTTCGGATTGATTCTTCTCGTGTGCGCGTGCATGCGAGTCTACGGCACGAAAAAGTGCGAGGGCAATGGTTTGGCCCTGAAGTACGTCTGGGGAGATGCACTGACGGACCCAACCGATTGCATAGGACCCAACAATCTTCAGTATCCTGCGTGAGTAACCGATTATGTCGATCGAATGATCCACGATTCTAAAGAGGTTATCCTGTGTCCTCCGACACGTCCTAATTCCAGTGATTCCAGTCTGATGACAAATTCTCCAATATACTTGGATCATTCGAACGATCCGCCGATTGTTTTCAGGGCTGCCATATCGCGCTCCTTCAAGAACTTCGGACTCGGAAGCAGTCGGTCTGCTCGATCCTATCAGCCGCGGACGATTGATCCCGAATTAACGAGACAAGCGCTTCTGCACAATTACAAGGCTGCACAGGGCGATTACTCGATCGCTGCTTCCAACTCTCGAGATGGTGAGTTACATAAGTCACGGTCGATCGACCTCACAATCGGTCCAACGGAATCTTCTTCAGGAGCTAGTAATTCAAATGACAATGAAGCCGTTTGCCTCGCCAGCTCGTTCCTCTACTTTTCGACCCTGGCACACGCACACGCGCACGCGCACGCGCACGCTATTCTCTTTGCTCGTGCATACCTTCAGAGACTCTTAAAATTCCTTAACGAAAGTACCGACTTCTACCTGCCAAATCCGGTATGACAACAAGAGCCGCAGTTCGCACGTACGCGTGGATGGTCAAGTAACCTCGACTGCTGTAGGCAGCAGCCTTGAATTATGCGATTCTCCATATGACACGAAAACCTGGTTAGGAAATCCGAGTCATCAGTTTCATTTTGACCAAGCGACCTTAATTTATTTTCCGTTTAAATTATCCAACGAATTTTTGCGCTACCCTCGTTTCTCGCACGTTCCCTTTTTCATTCCACGATTGCCGTAGAAAAATCGAATAATCGTCGCCCTCAAGGAGGAATCACTTGACCTGTTGGTCGTTAAGCCGCGGCATCGTCATCCGGCCAATACAGTTATCACCTCGTGTACTACTCTAACGGGACACTCTGCCCACTCACGTTTCGAATAATCGCTGCTGACGTTCATTCGAATTCAAAGGAAATGGCCCTGGCTGCATGAGCCGAACTATAACAAGGCGGGGTATTTCTGGGAAGAAGGATTCCCACTTGGTTTAAATTCACAAAGGCCGTTCATCTACAGGACGAGCTTTTACGTCTAAGGAGACTTGCGGCTCTCCGGCCCGATTGTGCAAGACCAGGTACAACACGACGGCTCCGATGTACGGCGTCAGTCTAACCAGCGGACAACCAGTGACCATCGTTCAAAAGTTTCCTGATCTCCTACAGCAGGTCGTCTTTGAAGTTTGCGAGTAAGTATTTTGGTCTTCGCCATATCACTTTACGGCATATTGCCCATCCTAATGAAATGACCATCGTATGCTGAATGTTGAGAAATGATCGACGTGTAGCAGCCGATAGATCAGACGTTCCTCAATATCTCAAAACTGTGTAAAATTAGAGTACTTGCTTTCTATGAAGACAGAAGATAGGATAATTCGATCGTGTAAATGAATCCTTTTCTTTTTTATTTTAACAGATCGAAGGAATGCGACGTAGTGCACGGAGAGTGTACGCAAACCTACGTGCCTTATCTCTTTTTAGTAATTCCTTTAGGACCCGTTACCTTGACTGGGCAAGATTACGTGCTCGTTGAAAGTGGATGCGTTTGTAAACCGAAGAATTCGGCGAGCGCAAATTCCGATGTGCCGGTCGTCCCTAGCTTTTAAAGGGGACGAGCATGATTCTTTTGACATTAATAAGCAAGATTAAAAAGGAGCATGAAGTCAGTATCCATTATTAATTCTTTTGACTTCTATATTTAGAAAAAAAAAATTCTCAAAAGAATAATCACGGCGGTAAAGTTTACCGCGTTGATCGAGAGCGACCCGATGCTCGTCCTAACGTTCCTGCGGTGAGTCCAAAAACGAGGATGCAATGGCAAAGAGAAAAAAGAAAAAAAGCCTAAAGTGTTTCGTAGAATCTGGTCTCGGAATTGAATTATGGATCATTGAACACAGGCGATGCAGTCGTTCGCGGAAATCGATATCCAACTGAAAATTGACTTCGTTTCAAAGTAGTCTTCGAGAAAGAGAACTCGAAGACATATTGGACTAAATGGCTAGGGACAGAGGGGATCAATTCTTTATTAGGACATAATTATTAAATCATCCGAGACTTATTAGTTCGATCACTTAACCGCCATTTAGTCGTTGTTATACGAGGCAACAGTCAGTATACTTGTATGACTGGTGCATCTTAACTTGATACGCGAAAAGAGATAACGAAAGGCATTCTCGTAATTCATAGAATACCACACGATGGAGCTAGTCTCGTTTTCCAGACAATCGTTCAGACTTTGGGGCAGTAGCTTCCCACATTTCAAACATTCGAATGGTAGGAACATTACATCTCGTATGGTAACGATAAAACGTGAAAATAATGAGCGACATAACCTTACTACTCTTGGTAAACTCGAGCCATCTGTTGAAGCTCCAAATATGTAGAGAAAAATTGCACACTTAACAAATTACATAGCTGCGCATTTTAGGACGTTAGGAAATATCGAGCCATTAAGAATTCTTATTAGAAGCTGAGCCTTCGCACCAACATTATCGCCTGTGGAAAACTGGTTGTCCAGCTTCTCCAGGTCTCGAAAGTACCGACTCGCTCTGCTGCTGAGCCGTCTACTGAGAACCGGACTGAAGGATAAGTAGCCGGACGCTGCGCGCAGCAGGAACGAAAAGCCCGTTGGCCAGGAGAAGGGTCGGACGGACGGCCGCTGACTGCGCTGACCGAATGGATCATACTGTGAATACCGATGAGCCGAACGTACCGTTACGTTTCTCCCGGCTCCCCCCGGATCCTCTACGTTGCAGTACACACCCGCCCTGCTATTTTTGTATGTGGAAATCTCAACAATAATTGGGCACATCAAGACGAGCATGGTAAAGACGTCGCCCGATTTCTCTCATCATTTTCAATTTTGTACACGGCTCAACAATTCTAAATCTAGCTTGCACAGAATGTAAAGGCAGCTCTCTGTTCCGCCACCTCTTTGTCTGCAACATAATACCTGTGTAATTATAATTTAGGTTATTTCCAACTGCTGTAGCTATTATTAATTTATTATAGATTACGTACACTGTATACTTTTTTTTGCTTTTTGATGTTTACCCATGCCACTTTTGCGAAAAATTGTTTTTTAAAATTAATCAAATCTAGTACGAAGAAACAATCATTCTGCTGGTTGAATAACGGTACAATTTGCAAAGGTATCACAGTTTGCGATTTCAAGAAACACATAGAATACTGGATTTTGCCGTATTGGTGCTAACGGTATTCCTGAGGTCAGGAAGAAAGATCGCAGGTCGTGAGTAACGTCGGTAATCATACCGGTGCTTCTTTCTGTCCTTCTTCCGTACCAAGCGAAGCCCCACATAACTTTGCAAACTGCTCGATCACACTGTGCACTGCAATTATCCTCGGGCTCAAAACAGTTCTGATTGGTTCTGACTGGTTTTCTTTTCTAGACGACTTCTCTATGCTTTTCGGTGATTGCGTTCGTTTGTCATATTAAATCATAACGTTATGGCCAGGATCCAGTTACAACCTGTGCACATTCATGCCCTTCAATCGCAGAGGTAGGACAATGAATGAATAAATCGATAATTAATGATCATTGAATCGCATAATCAAGTCTGAAGAGAGCAGATGCTAGAACTTATGGAAAGTTCACTCATCACATTTTAGCGCTTCTCTAAGACGCCCATATGAACTCCAGGCACATGTTGACAAATGACACATGGGTTTCTATAAAAATCTGGAAATATATTTTAAAATAGAAATATAAAATAATTATTCATTGCAAACCCAGGCGAATGCATACATTGTAAGCAAAATTCTATAGAGAGCCACTTGCTGGAGATTTCATTATTGTCGATCTGACAAAAAACCACATTGAACTAGTGAACAGACTATAGTTCACGTTCACAGTTACTGTTGCTGCTACTTCGATTTTCGTTGTTAACAGCGTTTGTGTTTCAAGGTCTGCAAGGAATAGGTAATTGGGTGGAAAACTTGAAGAGTATGGAAAAAATAAATCAGGTGCGTACGTTCTGAATGCTGTAAACCCCTTGTGAAAAGGAAAAAAATTCACTTACATAGCATTGATTGAGACGTAACATGAAAATCAATATGGATTTTCATGTTACAGGTTGGAAATATATTTTATCTCGCCTAATGGACCCTACCGTTAGCATTGTCGCGTCACGCATGACAGAAAATCATGATTTTCCGTTAGAATATAGATATATTTCTTTCTCACTTCGCAACGTCCAGTTATTCTCACTGTGCAAGTGCGCAATTTTACGGACCTAACAAAACCTAACCGATCTAACGCGAAACGCGAGTTACACGAATGAACACTGGAGGAATTCGATTGGACACAACCGTTGTTATGATGTAGTGCACGCGTGCGCAGTGAGAGGAACTGAACGTTACGAATTGTCGATGTAACGAACGAAGAGAGATATCTCTGTCTCAACATGTTGGGGCCATTTTCCACTTTTATTACTAGAATGGGCTATTCTCCTTCCAGGAGTATAAATTCTATGGCGGCGACAGGTGGTCCGATTGGCGTCGTTGAAAATAGCTTTTGAAAGAGGGCGCTTTGATCGAGTTACTTGCTTCTAACGCCGGACGATGTCGCCCCATTACCTCGACAAGTGCTGCTGGATGGAACCTGGAATCTGCCTGAACGACGGTAACACCACAGTAAAACTACAGCAGCACCAGATTTCGTCAGTGCACCAGTTGGACTCTGATATAAATATTACGCCAGTCGTGTGCCGCTTGTGCATCCAGTATGTGGATTTTATGGCTCTGCTACGCTTTTATTGGAAAGATTCAATATTGTTGGCGTGTTAGCTCTGTGCTACGTTATCGTGTGAAGTTCTGAGTGGATTTTCATGGAATCTGGCTCTCTCCAAGTCAAGTTATCGGTGCCCAAGTCTCTTTTCGTTCACGGTAAGAGCGAGGGAGTGTCTCGTTTTTCCGACAGAACAGCTGCTTCATTTCACCTAACCTCAAAGACAAGGAGAGGAAGGCGTGTCGTGCTTCGTGGTTATAATTCGTCTCGTGTCGCAGTTTTCCTTTGCGCACGCACTTAAATGCGTTGAGTACGTCTTTTTTCTATTAGTACTCTTTCACACTTGCAATTCCGCTTTAACACAAATGCATAATATTTTTTCATTCCCAGACACACACTTCCATACGCGCGCGCGCGCGTCCACGCATTCTCTCTCTCTCTCTCTCTCTCTCTCTCTCTCTCTTCCCTATCATTCTGTTTGTATGCTTTACAGAGCAAAGTATCCGCAGAGGTTACAACTTCATTGATAATAGCTTTGATCTTTTGACGTTTGTAGTTATTTGTATTTCTTTCTTTACTCTAAATTTCGATAAAAAGTTTAAGAGAAAGATTGTTCCTAATAACTGCAGTACATTAACATGTGCTTTTTATTGTAAATGTTCTGTGTGTCACTTGATAATGTTTTTCATTTGTTACATGGATTTAGATTATCTCATTTGTCACTTATTATATAGATATACACGTTATTTAAACCGCATTACTTATTACCGATCCAATGGAATTGACGAATCACAGATGTTTCAGGTTCTAGGTGATTTTTAATAAGATGTTATTACATACAACAGTTTAAGCATAGCGTATAAATGCAGGGGTGGAATTGAGACCGAGTTCACGGGATGGCACCCTTGTCAGTGTAATAAACGATAAGGAAACGTATTGCATTAACATTATTACATATCTTGTTATTAAGCAATAATTGATGAACTGTGGGATTGTCGAAAAGTGGGATCGCGCGTAAGAGACGCGACGTGCTATTGCCGATGAGATCAGTTAGATATCTGGCAGCGTTACGATGTGTCTGACATCCATGGACGACGATCAATGTACCACTCATGGAGGAATGTGCGTCGCCAGAATAAAATTTATGCCGAATCAGAGAATAAATTATCTCGAATGCGAGCGATTCGCGGAATCATTTTGCGTTCAAGTCAAATGGGGAATACGCAAACGATGTGCGTGATGAATATTCACGTCGAGTCGACTAATTTCATTAGTGAAGATCCAGAATGTTGCGGGGATCGTGCATTGCTCTGGAATCGCGATTTTGAAGAACATTACTTCGTCGACTCCCTCCGCCGTGGGGTGACAGAATGAGGGAAATACTTGGACATCGGGTTGGCAAGCCGTTACTTATACTTCGTTACCTATCGACCATTGAGCTCTTTATCATGAACCAGCATCTAGTTTATCATTTCAACGCTCATGGCAATACGTCAATGCGGTTCGTCGTCATCAATTACCTATTCAAATCACTGTCATAGTTAGGCGGCTGGCTGACGATATGGATAATTGAAACGCAGGGAGACTAGAGGGATGGATGTTGATAATTCTTGTTTAAAGTCAAAAGAAAGTTACGTAGCATTAATTATGTGAAATCGATCAACTACAGGCCGACACAACTTGCCTTTGGCATTCCGTTTTTCTTCTTTTCCATCATTTACTTTCATTTCAGTCTAATCCTGTACTATTAAGATTATTTTTGAATGTTACAGATTTCCATACAGCATACAATCTGAGATTTTATCATCCTCATCTGTAACCGGCTGATGATGCAACTTTCCAAGGAGGAATAAAAGGGCTTGATAAAGTGGATCTGTTGGGAAATATTGTCTTTTGCATCAGCTGTATCCAGTATTGTGGATGAAGGGTTATTCTTTCTTTTTCTTCGAAATTTGCAAGTGGATTTTTCTTCGCGTTCCTAATCCACTAGTCTATTGCGTCTTTTCGCTCCAATTTGTCCATCGCTCTTAACTCCTTCCCCTTTTACTACCTTCTTAAAATTATATTCTCATTTTCAACTTACTAATTTTGTACCTGATACCTAGCATTACACTGTAGCCCTGGGCTTCGAAAAAGATACGAAAAAGTGTACGAAGACAAATGCCACATCGAAAATTAAGTTTGCGGATCTGGTTCTATTTTAACCAATGAACTAAAGAGTGAACTCACTGTCGTTGCTATACAGTAAAGGGAATTGCTACAAAGTAGGGAAATTTCATTGAATCGGATTAGGCGGGCAGAGTATGAGCAGAAGTAAGAGTCTTCTTCGTAGCGCTCTCTGACTCTTTGGTTTCTGGGTAGTTATGGCTGCTTTGGATAACAAAATGGGGTAGCGCACATGAACCTTCTAACATAAATGGGTTAAATGGCTATGAACGACGCCAAGTATGACGCCGTTCTTCGCCCGTTGCAAAATGGCGATCGTAGTTTTTTGGAAGCACAACAAGTGGCGTCAAGGATATCGGTGTCCTATTCGAAAGTGAAGCCTTCTTTCGAAGGTAGAATTAATCAATTAATAGGAAGGGAACTTTACCTGTGCTATTTCATACTTTTTAACTATATTGCCTAATCTCTTAAAATTGTAGGAAGAGTGATTTAGATATAAGCAGACGAACAAATTCTTACGACTCAACTTAAAAGGTTTGCAAAATTTCTCTTAGGCATCTCTGTCATTGGCAATATTAGCGTTTAGCCATTCGTGTGAATCGGTAGATCTTTGTACAAATGTAAATAGTATACATCTTCAGCAGAATGAGTTTAGCCGCGACTCGCGAATAGCCATAGCTTCAGATCTCTTATTGTCCCATCAAAGTTCCTGGACTTTTCATTCCACTTCTTCGTCCCATTTTTTTCCCCGATTTTTTTCATAATCTTGTATTTCGACACCCATGACCTCGGATGTGCATTGCGACTATCTGAAATGAGGGAACGTACGGAAACAAATCGGTAATAATCTTTTCGTGCCGCTCATTTCTTCCACTGGTGCCAGAGAAGACGAAATAGTGAAAGCTAAAAAGCAGAGTTCATATCAAGAAAAAGAAGAACTTGACAGTTGACAGTGATTATAGCAATGACGATTTCTACCGGTGAAGGTAGCGTCTTTCTTCTGGGTGCAGTTGGTCCACGATGTGTCGTCAAACAAGCTACCGTCAAACGATGCGTAGCGGCACTGCTTCTGATCTCTGTCGCGAGTATCTTCTATTACACCCACTACATCATAAGCAGCCCCTTCTCCAGGTCAGTCCTTTCACACGTATTCACTTATAGGGATACTGGTTCAGTGAATGGTTCAACGACCTTGCTACACATTTCTACCAGGGAGCCAAATGCTAAATATTACCTATAATTAAGCAATTCACTAGCAATTTCAAGTTGAAAGTCAGGCTTCCTCTCCTGACATATTAATCTACATCTACAGTACATTAAATTCTCGTTTCATATCTGAAAGAAAAAGAAATTCAAAGGCCTCTGTCCGTCTACAGTTTGATACATCGAGACACGCGGCCTGAACCGGTGATAAGATGTTCAACGCTTAGGGGTGCAACGAGATTACCAGCGGCTCCGGACCATCGCAGCGAAGCCAGGTTGAGAATTGACCCGAAGGTTTTGGTCTTCACCGAGACTCTTTACTCCAGGCTTGGTCGAGAGATCGCTGAACTTCTTGATTATAATCGAATCAAGTGAGTATCCTCTAAGTTGAGCTCAAGGCACTTCCACGACTTTGGATAAGGTGTGCGCTAAGGTGCGTGTGCTATTTCGTATTGCAGACACAAGCTCGAGGTGGCAGGGAAGTCACTGCCTGTGCTAACGAATCTGGACAAGGGTCGCTATGGAGTGTTAATCTTCGAGAATCTTAATAAGTACTTGCAGATGGATAAATGGAATCGTGAGCTCCTGGATAAGTACTGCCGAGAGTATTCCGTGGGTATTGTCGGGTTCGCACCTCCAGGCGAAGAGAGTCTTGTTGGTGCGCAACTAAAGGGCTTCCCTCTCTTTATTCACACCAACCTGAGGCTAAAGGTTCGTATGGCGGGCGGGCTTATGAACTCTTAACTAGAAAATGATTGGAATTGCCGGTTCCATAGGATGCTCAACTGAACGCTGCATCGCCGATACTCCGACTAACGAGAGCAGGGGAGACAGCCTGGGGTGCGCTTCCTGGAGGGGATTGGACCATCTTTCAAGCCAATCACAGCACGTACGAGCCTCTCGCTTGGGCCCACCGAAACACCCTTGACTTCTCCAATAATAGGAATCCTTTGGCGACCGTTGTTCAGGTACTCTTTTCATTCTTCAATTGATTCAGTGTCGAGAGATTCTGAATTGTTCCTCGAACCGCTCTGACAGCTACGAAGATATCGACAGCATCGACAGTTAGAGGCAGGTTGGCCTCCCGACGTGATTATCGGATCACACTATTAATCCTCTTTATTTCTGACAAGCTCATTTCGACAGTAGTGCCTCGCAGTGCAACGTGATGCAGTTCGACTCTGATTTACCTTTGCCGTTTATCACTTAAAAACAATCAGGAACAATTTCAGGATCATGGAAGGTATGATGGCATTCAGAGGGTGCTTTTTGGCGGCGGGCTGCGCTTTTGGTTACACAAACTCCTCTTACTGGATTCGATCTCCTATCTCTCGCATGGCCAGCTCAGTCTTAGCCTCAATCGTATGATTCTCGTCGACGTTGATGATATTTTCGTCGGCGAAAAAGGCACTCGCCTCAAGAAGGACGATGTACTTGCTCTGCTGGCAACTCAGCAACGCATTCAGAGTCTGGTAACTGGGTTCAAATTTAATCTTGGCTTTTCTGGAAAATACTTTCATCATGGGACATTTGAGGAAAATCTGGGAGATGACATGCTTCTTGAAAATGTCGACAGGTGGAGTATATTATTATATAGTATAGTATATTATTTTTTGCTTTGCTCCTAGGAATTAACGTATTAACAAGAAATCATATTACTTATAGATTCACATGGTTCTCTCACATGTGGAATCACCAGCAGCCTCACCTGTATGAGAATGTGTCACACCTGCAGTCGGACATGGCACTGAATAAGCAATTCGCAAAGAAGCATGGGATTCCAACTGCGACTGGATATAGCGTCAGTCCTCACCATTCGGGGGTCTACCCCGTCCACGAAGGTCTTTACGAAGCATGGAAGAAAGTCTGGAGCATTAAGGTTACCAGCACCGAGGAATATCCCCACCTAAGACCGGCGCGCCTTAGACGTGGCTTTATTCATCGGAATATTATGGTGAGTTAAGATGCTTTTATTGAGCAATACATTGCCCCCTTTAGAGCTCGAATGCAACAACATTTAGGATGCTTATAATATAAAATAATTATTGTGATATTCTCTTGCGTTCAGGTACTTCCACGGCAAACGTGCGGTTTGTTCACGCATACCATATTTATTGAAAGATATCCGGGCGGAAGGGACAAGCTGGATGAGTCCATTCAAGGTGGCGAGCTTTTCCAAACGATTGTCTATAATCCCGTAAGTTGTGACGACAATACAAATTTTAAAAACTACTAGATCGTATTTTTTGACTTCTTCACATCTCATACGTATACTTTTCATAAAGACCCTCGCTTCCTTTCGTAGATCAACATATTCATGACGCACATGTCCAACTACGGAAACGACCGGCTAGCTCTTTATACTTTTGAGTCGGTTATCAAATTTATTCGGTGTTGGACGAACCTAAGACTTTCTAGCGCACCGCCCCTTGAGCTGGGCGAACGATATTTTCAGCTTTATCCTGAGGAGTTGGATCCTGTTTGGGGAGTAAGTCCTATCATACTGTCAATATTACCAGCATGAACTTTACATATGATATTGGAACTAATCAAGTTAAATGCCTGTCCCCTTCCTCTACTTCATTTTATCAGAATCCCTGTGACGATCCGAGACATCAAAAAATATGGTCTCGAAACAAGACATGTGATCAGCTACCGAGATTTTTGGTAATTGGTCCCCAGAAAACTGGCACAACTGCTCTGTATACATTCCTTTCGATACATCCAGCCATCAGCAGTAACCTTCCCAGCCCCGACACTTTCGAGGAAATTCAATTTTTCAATGGAAAAAATTACTACAAAGGACTAGACTGGTAAGATTTTGAAATATAAAAATTAACCACGAATGAATGAAGAAAAATGTAGTGATACATTGCCCCTTCTCTTCGCTATATTTGCATTCTTCCTTTTTATATATTTTTTTGATTCGCTACTCCTTCGCTCACAATGTTTACGGTACATTTGGCTTACTAGGTATATGAGCTTCTTTCCTGCGGGCAAGAATGAAAGCCTACGGTTCTTATTCGAAAAGTCTGCAACCTACTTCGATGGTGACCTTGTCCCACGTAGAGCACACGCTCTTCTGCCGAAAGCTGAACTTATCACAATACTTTTATCTCCCGCACGACGCGCCTACTCTTGGTATCAGCACACTCGGGTTCACGGCGATCCTGTGGCAAATAATTACACTTTTCATTCAGTCATCACCGCAAGCGACACCGCACCGAAGCCCTTACGCGATCTTCGAAACAGGTGAGTTCAGTTGATACCGTCGACAATTGAGAAATTTGAAATCGTCATTAGTCAAAAAGTCAAGATTGTTGATTGTGCAATTTCTACTTTCCAATGCGTACGCAGGTGTCTCAATCCCGGAAAGTACGCGCAGCATCTTGAAAGGTGGCTGTCGTACTATACACCGCAACAGCTACACATAATCGACGGGGAGCAGTTGAGGCAAAATCCTGTAGAAACACTTCACGAGCTTCAACGATTTCTTAAGATTACACCAGCTTTCAATTATTCGTCGCATCTCAGATATGATCCAAAGAAGGGTTTCTTCTGTCAAGTGACTAACGAAGATCATACTAAATGTTTAGGAAAAAGCAAGGGACGTCAGTATCCACCCATGGATGATAAATCGTACAAGCTTCTGCAAGTGAGTTAGACTCCTTATTAAAGCTATTTCGTGCATGCAATGTCACTATGTATTCTGTAGTTCCAACTTCAATGATGTAATAAACTGTATTTTTTACGCTAGAGATACTACCTCTCACACAATACCGCGCTGGTAAAATTGTTGAAGCGACTGGGATCGAGGACGATTCCACAATGGCTTAAGGACGATCTGACAGATACGGTGATGACTTAGCAAAAGCCGAGTGTCTCAAAACTGGATCCTTGCTCATCCTGTACTTTCGTCATGTTAGTGGCAGCAGTTCATGCTGTCGCCAACAATTTGTAATTACTTGTACATTTTACACATTAGCAGGGCCTAGCCTCTAGTAATACCTCTAGGACCCGCGTCCGTGGATCAGATAGGAGGCCTAAGACGACTAGTCACTGAAAGGCTTTGTAATGAGAACTTCATTCGGAGCTATTAATTATGCAAATGTCATTATTATTATTATGATATAATCCATTAAATAGTTATGATCCAAGAAACACAAGGTAACAATTTCATAGTATCAGCAATGATGAAATGCCCTATTTAAGTATATAGGAGTAATAGTTATATGGTATCTCATGTACCTAACTGTTACATCCTTGAGTAAGACATTTAAACATTGCCGATATGTAAATGTTACTAGGGTAAATCCATCAAAAAATAAACACCTTAAGTAAATGGCTCCATTGAATGGAAACGTGCTAAAATTACTATATATATAGAGATATAATTTGAGTGAACGCGTCCATTAGCTGGTGCTTGTTCATTCACTCATGGAATCACCCAATGTATTTATCAAAGGGCACTATCATTGTCTTGTCAATAATTTCCAATGACAAAATGGTCTGCGCACCACATAATCAAAAGAGAATATATGAGCGAATTACTTCTCTTGACTTGATATCCTTCTCAGACAAAATCCTAATTTTGCGAGGCCCAGGTAAATCGTCTCATATTTTCTTTTCTCGCGTAAATAAGCAGGACCACAGAGAAAAGGTGTTAGTGTCGAACTAGTGGGAGAAGGTATCAAGACAGACTGTTATTCCTAATTGGTCCATCTACCGAGAACGGCCAAACGGATGCTCGAGAAGTAATGAAACGCTGAGGGCGAAATTGAATGTATGAGATGATGTATGTTAATAGCTGTTCACTCCGGCACGTGGCGATTGGTAAATTTTGCTAGATACGTGTAGGTCTTACGATGCTGCTACGTATTGTCTATTTTAACGTTAGTATATAATCGTTGAATGGCATCAATTCAACTTTTAAGATCGAATCAAAAACGGCCATCTCTTGTAATGCGACAACAACTCTCAACGTGGAATTGTGCCTGTATGTTTGATGATTGTAGTCTTATTGAAGAATAATTTTAATGTTGTGTTTAGAGTTTGACAGCACTGCTCTTGATAGGTAGAAAAAAAATCAAAACACGCTGTTATTTTATTAATGTAAAATATTTACGTTTACCTTTATACGTGTCGTGACTAACCACGCAACACGTAACTTGTGTTCAACTGATGACTGTAATTTACATTTTAGGTTCTCAATTTTACGCACGTCATTTTTATCGGTGGATACGACCACGTAGCTAAAAACTCAACGAGTGAGATATCATTTCTTCGGAAAGTAATGTTTGTTCTTTCGGTGTGAAAGGAGGCGGGGCGCGACTCTATTGCCGATGCACCACCGTGAGCGCTCGTCTGCTGTTATTGACCGAGAGCGACTATCGGCTACAGGAGCCGTTAGATTACTTTCTGTATTCTACCGGGCGGCTGCTCGTTAACTCCTTAACGTTGCGTATCTTATGCACAGTTATCTCGTCGCGAGATGTGCCATTTTAGGAGTATTGTATATAATAGGCACTAAATGCAAATTGTTCAGAGTCAATATATATTAATGTGACGCGACAGCGAGGTGCAGAGTGCGACGACGTGTTTCCGCGTAGCCTGACAATAAACGCAGAAACGGCACGCGCAGGTACATAAAATCTTTGTAAATCCTCCAAGTAAAGGAAGGCTACTCTATTAAAACTCACATTTACTCACATTCCTTCTACGAGTTTTCGCCTTGCGACGACAGTAATATTTTCCGTATTGTCCCCGTGTCCTGGGCGAGTGTGTGAGAGAATAAAATGTCCGAAAAGAAACACTGTGGCAAAGGGCATGAGAATGATTCAAGAGAATGCTAATTTAATATTTAACTTGTGATTGTACGGTTGTAAAATGCGGCGACAACTGCATTAACAGTCGAAAACTTGTAATAAAATGAGAATGAAAGAATCTCGGGAGATGATCTCTTTTTATGAGCGATCAGTTCGTAACATCCGTTTTCTAAGAGGACATCCTACTGCTTTCTTCGAAATCCTTCCAATACGTTTTCATTCTGTGAAATGTATCAATTGGCTTTTCTCATGAATTCCTCTTCGACGTAACATAATCCTTTGTGATCTTCGTGATAACGCCATGACAAGCAGTAGCTTGTGCTGCCCTGCCTTATCTATCTTCTTACTTCATCCACATTCAATGTAAGAATAATTTTATTGCCGATGCTTCTTCGTCATAATCTAAAAAGAAGGTCCTCGTGAAGCAGTGCCATGGAATTTTGAAATCTCCCGATGGTATTGAAGGAATCTCGGCGAAGCGCCGTCATCATCTGCATCAGTGACATCGATACGAGTACCATCAGCATCGCGACTGGAAGAAATTGGAATGATCGGAAATGCGACTTCGTTCGGCATGGTGGGAAGACTTGGTTGAAGGTAAATTGCTTCGCCGTCAGGAAAAAAGAGACGCTGCATATAGGAACGGGCAGGGCCGCGTCGGAGAGCGATGCGCGATCTCAGGTTGTTCAGGTATTCGGAGCGGTTCCTTAGGAAGCCGAAAAGCTCAAGAGAGAGAAAGAGCGGTGCCATCGAGCAGAGGACCAAGGATAATAGAGCAACAAGGCAAATGAGCTGCCAGCCAAGGTCGGCCAGTCGGGAGTTGATTGGTGTCTGGGTAGACGTTGTGATGGCGAGCGGTGCCATAAAGCTTCCAAGGAGGGCGCAGCCAAGGTGCCCGGCGAAAATGTTGCAGTAATCCTCGAGGGCGCTGCGGAAGACCCGTCTCGAGAGCACGTAGAAGACAAGGCCACCGCTGGCACCGATGCTCAGGGCAGCAAGTGGCGAGTAGAAGTCGATGCCAGCTGACAGGGTGACGATGCCGGCGGTGACGGCCTGCAGGCATCGCGCCACCGTCCAGTGATTGAAAGGCTCGCGGCTCAGAGTGAAGTGCAGCGCGACGACCATGAGAGCGCATCCCGAGCCCGCCAAGAGACCATTCACGAAAACCAACCGAGTCGTTAGTAACATTCTCGAGGTGCGAGCGAGTGACAATCCTTGAAGGCCCACGAAAATGAGAAAATGCCCGCAGAAGAGGATGCTGCCCGAGTCTCTCGGGATACTTGCCTCGTCGATGTCCCGCAGTCGAAGCAGCCTTCGCCCGAGAACGAGGGAGCCTATCGTTCCTGAGAGAGCACCGAGAATGTGAATTACGCTGGCGCCGGCATCGTCGTGGAAGTGCACTCGCTTTCCCGCGAGCGAGCCCGTGGCCATCCAGCCCCTCGGGCTCCAAATCCAGTGAAGAAGGACTGGTTGCAGCAGGCCTGCAAGAAGGCTCGCACTCAGGACATACCCGACGGTATGCATTCGGCCAACGATTCCACTGGTGCAGATGCCCGAAGCCGCCATCGCTGCTTCCCATCCGAGGAACGCCTCTTCTTCGTTTGCTTCACTGCTCCAGATCCAGAAATCGCCGCCAATCAGGCCGGCAGTGTCACCGTTGAATGCTAATGCGAACCCAAGCAGAAGGTAGACTACACTCACGACGGTCACATCGAGCAGATTCTGCAGAAGGATTAGGTTCACGTTGTTCATCGGGATGCTTCCAAGCTGCACGAGGAGCATACCCAGGCGAAGAACGATCGACAGGACTCCGCGAAGAAGCAGACTGATCGACGAGCTGTAGACAGGCAGCAGCGACTTCACTGCCTTCATCGTCGATCCCAGTACTTCGTCATCGTTTTCCTCCTCCTGCACGGGGATTTTCTTTCTCCCAACTAACGATCCATTTAATGCATTCCAGATGTTCCACCCATTCCGCATGTGAAATGAGTCCGTCTTTCCCTGGTTTCCAGCACCATATTCGTAATAGTTCTCCCCGTAGAGCTCCTCAACCTCCCTTTGGAAGGACACTAGTGATGATATCCTATACATCGAACATTCTTCACCCAGATCTCACTGTGCTACTATACTTTCTTTCTCACAGACCGCAGATCGCTGATTGCTCACTGAAATTATGAATACGTGGCCAGTCGTTCGGTACGATCTATGCGCGAATACAAGATGTAAGAAGGAAAACTGTCATATAATGCTGATTATGTACTTGGATATCGTTAGAGCAACGAGATTCCATCAGAATCTGCTCGCTGTGTACTTTGAGTATTTTGAGTAGTTTTGTCAAATGTTTTAGTTCGTAGGGCTTCAGCCGCCTGGAAAGATACAACATGCTTATATGATTTTTATGAGGTTTATTATATTTTTGCCTCTCTGACACTGCTATATTATTTTTCATCATTATAGATAACAATTATATAGTATTATCTAACATGTGTTATAACGTTATTCAGAAATCGAAGGGAAACTGGGAAAACCTTCCGTTCTTTAAGTATAGCAGCCGTGCGCTTGCGTATTTCGTTCGACAAAGTATGGAAGCCGTGGAGAATGTTTACAGGCCAGAGCAACCAGAGTAACGGTCCCCGAATTGGAGTGGAGTGAAGACTGAGAGGAGGCAAAGGCAAAAGACAGGCCGTTGCCTGTGTGCATTGGTGTATGTGCGCGCCTGCGTTTTACGGGTGGCTGCAAGCAGCAGGAAGGGATAGGCGGCCAGCAGTCAGTCCGAAGCGGCCGTTGCCTTTGCCGCTGTGGGAAATTAGGTGCTGTAGTGCTGTGCAAGATGGCGACTGCTGGCGTATCGTGCCGGGCATTCACTGTGCTTCGGTGTGAGATGTCACGCGTTTTCAGTGTAACGTCCATGACTGCCGCGAAGAAGTATCAGAATGTGAGTTGCTTCGTACGCTCGCAATATTTCGGCTTATCTTATAAACACGCCTTTCCCCCTCAGATCATCTCGAAATACATGCCAATTGTTCGGGATTTCCTTTACGGTCAAGTCCATCTCGCTTGCGCCTATTCGACTGCACGCAATGCTTCGTCGGGCCCTACAGTAATGTGCGTCTGCGCATCCGCGTACGTGCGACTTGTTTTCCCTTACACGTGTGAATGAATAGTTTACCACCGTGCGTCCCAGCAGTCCACGAGTCATCTGTTTCCAAAAAATAAGCCACGCACAATTCAACTGATTTCATTGTTCTGAAAAATGTACACTCTCACCACGCCGAACGGATCAAGTGTTGATAGTCTGCAGAGACACGTTTAACCACGTGTCTACGTGTGTATCCTCTGACCATCGCCCTGCGTCCTACGTGCTATTGCTTTTCTCTGTGTGAAATTTACCTGCTCTCGGTCGATCACTTATTGTCATTCGGAGATTCCGATGTTAAGGAGGATTCAAGATGTCCCCGAAATTTTTATTTCACTTTTCATCAGTGGTCGGCGATGTGTTTATAATTCGCGATATACGCCAGCTAATCTTATCGCGTCGGTGTCAAAGCTAAGGGAACTATTACTGTTCGACGTGATTGCTTTGGATGCTATTAACATTTCATTCTGAGCATTTTCAGTTTGTCATTTAAAAAAAAATACTTAATTTGTAGATATTGATTAAATCACGAGCGCTTATTGCATATTTACATAGGATTACTTATGTTAGTGGACATCTTACGACAAGGGAGCCGGCAGATTTATAAATATTCTGTAGCGTAAAATCGTGCATCCGAAAATAACGGCTTCACCACTGGCCGGGCCGACCCAGGCAAGCCCTGACGAGTTAAAGCAAATCCGAATTCGCATCAGTTCAATTCATGCCTGCGTGTTTTGATAGCATTGCATGTCAGTATAGTTGCGATTTGAGTATCTGACCGTGCAAAGAGCAATTAGCATTCTCCTCTCCTATCCTCTCCTTAGATCCCTTCTCGGCTTCTTGGCGGTACAGAGTTTTAGTTTATTATTAAGAGCTCATCAGGCTCAAAATATCCTTTGCCCTGTTATACGCGTGTCCAACTCCATATCGTTCTCTCAAGGTCAAATCCCCCTTTCGACAGACACATGGCATCTTCGAACTGCTCTGACCCGGAGTTGACCCGACACGACCTGATCTGACCTGACATTTCCGAGAATAAGGTCGGTAGAAAAATCGAAGAAATCTAGACAGCCGAGAATTTTAAGTGCTAATTGTTCTTTCGCGGAAAAGTTAGCATTTCTCCTGCTCCGGGAACGAGCGATTAGCTATCTTGCGTTGAGCACGGTTAGAAGAAGGTGATATGGAGAGTGCTGAGAGTGTAATGACACTGGCGTTACTGCTAGTGAGAGCTTTGGTTGTCCGAAAAGAAGGAATGGAAGTTGCTGCGAAAGCTACGAAGGATGCAAAGCCTGCTAAACATTTGGCAAAGCTGCGGCTAGCGCCACAGCCATCGATTTACCACCCTCCTCCGCTCTTCTCCGCTCTTCTCCGCTCTTTTCCGCTCTTTTCCGGCGAACGCTCTCTCCTAGGATCACAGTCGAATGAGTAATAACGTTACTCAATTTGTCAATTCGCTGCTTCGAGATGCTTTTACTCTGGTTTTTGGATACGGCGCGTACAACCGATCGACGTTCAGTCGAATCGAATGTTTCGTAGTTTAGTCCTCCAATAAGAATGCTCAATCACGTTGGAAAAGCTAGTTAGTTTTTTTCTTTCCTTCTTATATTCTCAGCGGAGCACGAGGTATCAAACAAGGATATGATATCATGTAATATGGTGCTTATAACCTCTTGCGCCTATGGCATTTCCGAAAGGTGCCGATATTCAATTGTGTTATCGCCTCTGTCATTGTTTTCAGGAAACATGGTGTCGCAGATGGCGAACGATCTGGCAGAGAGGAATTTCCAGCTCGGCTACGTCTTTCAGACCGATTCTTACTCCGGTCCTCCCTAAAGATTCGAAATCGTCAAAGGATTCAAAGGATTCGAAAGAATTAAAATGCCAGAAAAAGAGTTCGAAAGAATCGATCTCGAGCTCAATGACAGATGATGCAGGATCAAGCGGTAAGCTTTCGTAGAAACTGGTAAAAACGTAATACGAATAAAATAATGTCTGAAAAACTCACAGGGAGGAAAAATCGAAAACTATTCGAATAAAATGACGATGCATTATGCTGTTTAGTCTGTTTTTCATAAATGGCAGAACGTTCTGAATTTCTTGAGGAAATACTGTTAAATAATTCCGATACTTCTGATTTGAGAAAAGCTGAGCCATGTAAACTATAATATCGATCGCTGGCATTTCTGTTTCTTTTACTGCACGCGTAAACATCCGCAAGACCTTGTCCCTTGCACTGCCTTCCAAGTACATAGAAAAAAAATACTGAATCCTCAAGAACCAACTCTTCTGTTATCGGTCAACCGAAAGAGGCTTTAAACTTTTACGTTCCGACTATTAACATTGCTAGCAGAACAATTAGAGGCGCAGAGAACTTGCGGAGTGCAGCGTTGCTTCTTATATCTTTAGAGAGACTCCTTCGATCCGTATGAACAGTCGAGAATTGAATAAACAATGATACTTGTCCCTGTGTCCATGTTCGTCTTTCGGACTAAGAATATACATACATATAAGTTAATATTTCGAGCTACTCTAGCTTTATTAAGAGGAGGACAAACATACGATAGGTTATAAATTAGACTCCACATTGAAAATTCGTAAAGTAAGAAAACGAGCACGTCGAAGTGATCTGCGAAACGGGAGCAAGTGGTTGCAATGTTGCAGATGTCATGATCGAGCCATTGAGTGTCAAGGCTTTAATTCGTTGGTTTATCCTGAGCTAAGAGAGGTTCTCTGGGTCTTTATGAAGGACCTCCGCATTGAGGCTGTCATCGAGGACCTCAAATTCTTCGAAATCCATGTTGCCGAAGTCGCTGGATCGCGAGGATACTCGCTCGTTGCGTTGCCAGCGAGTTAACCCACTCTCCTTGAATCTGTTGACGCACGATGGACCTTCTGACCGTCTTGACTCTGGATCATCGAAATCGTCAAGAATAAATTCCGTTCGCTGTCGCATTTCTGGCCCTCGTTCCTTACGTTCCACCTCGTCAGTGCTGCCTTCCGTTGTCTCGGGTTTCTCGGGTTTCTCGGGTTTCTCGGGGTTGCGTGTGCGTTTCTCCTCCCGTTTGGGCTCGAGGCCAATTACAATCGGTGGTTCTCGGCGGTGAGGAATTGTCATGGGCATCGGAATAGGCGTCTGCGTGGGCGCAGGCGACTTTGCATCGCTACCTACAGTTCCTGAACTTTTGACGCTCGGACAAGCTCCGAGATCGGAATCCCTGTTCTGCAAATGATCTTTGTTCCCAAGCCTTCCAGTGAGCTCCAGCCTACTGTCACACGAGTTACTCTTGATCAAACGAAATTTCATCAAGTCCGCACAATCCCGAGCGTTGCATTTCTCTTTGCCATCAATCTTGGATGAAATCTTAGTGCTGATTGGCGAGATGAATGAAGCGCCACTTGAGATATCGACCACCTTACCACCGTAGTACGTGATTGACGTTCCACATTCCCGTATTTTCTTGAGAACATCCTGGGAAACAAAGTGACCCGATGTACTCCCGAAGATATCGTCGTCCTGATAGTAAAGGTCTTCCTCATTTTCATCCTCCTGCCCGACTTCGGCATCGGCATCGACATCGTCATCGACATCGATCTCACCCTCGGAGCTGGAACCAGAAGAGGCACCTCGTAATCCGCTTCCAGGATCGGTATCTTGATAATCGCTCGAGACTCCTGAGCTGACGCTACCGGTGTCCCAGCTCTGAAGACCACGTCCGAGCCTGCCTTTGGCCAGCAAGGTTGTCGGTTCGCTTGGAGAGCCATTTCCACTTCTGGCTTCGAACACTTGAGCAATAATTCTTGTTTTAGAGTCTGTCCTGATCCGTTCCGCAGCATCCTCTTCCTTCCCGATCGTCGATCTAACTGCCGATCTACTCGACGTCCTTTCCATGTGCTCAAAGAGTTTCTTCAGCTTCTTGGCCCTGTTCACCTTCCTCGATTCCCGGCCGGCACTGCCGCCGGCTTCAGCCGCCAAGTCCTTCCGATCCTCGTCCATCTTTCTGAGGTCGTGCATACTGACGCTCTTGCCGCCCGGTGGGAGCCTATTTTCATAAAGAGGGTTTTCACGAGGGTACTCGTCCCCTGGGGCCTTAATGGCAAGGCTCTTTTCGAAAATTTTCCGAACGTTCCTTACTGTGTCGGGATCAGGCAGCTCTTCGTCGATGAGCTCTCGATTAATACGAATTGGATGATAAAAAAAGTGTCTTTTCAATGAAGACTGCTGATTTCCTGATTGCATCTTCTTTTCTTCTTCGTAAAATCCATCGCCCTTCGTTACCTTGTCATTCGTCACACTCGTCGTCGGATTGCCCGAGTTTCCCGATTTCCCTTTGCCTCTCGCGCTCCCGACCGCAGCCTTCGTCGACTTTCCCGGCTTCCCTGCTAAAATTTTCTCTTCTACTCTTTCGGCACGTACCGGCTCGATGATGACCACTTTGTTGTCAACTAGGAGTTCTTGAAACGAATACTGTTTGAGATATTGCATGAGTCCGTCAAACGCAACGTCCCTATTCATGCTGCCAAACATGTTTTTACTGAACATATCGGATTTGATTATTTTATATCGTATATGATTAAATTCTGCGCCATCCTGGCACTCGATTGAATCGACGCAGCTCCATGACCTCGTGAGATTCGTGCGATCGTGCGCTTTTCCATTCGCATCATTTAATTTTGACTGTTTACAAAATTTATCATTAACCGCCTCTGTCTCTACTCCATCGTCCATGGATTGTCGTCTAGTTTCACTGCCAATTTCCGATCCTAAGCCAAGATCAGAACTTTCGGACCTGGCCTCGAAGCCAAGACTACCCTTGACCACGTTACATGCCTTCCCGAAAATGTTCGAAGTCTCCTTAATGATTCTTCCGAGCTTACCATCATTTTGCTTCGTCTTCTCGCTTCGATACAGCGCGTTCATCTTTTCCCCCTTTTCCTCTGCTTTCTTCTTCTGCAGCTTCTCTGTTTCCTCTTTTTCCTCTTTTTCCTCTTTTTCCTCTTTTTCCTCCTCCTCTCCCTCCTCCCCCTTCTCCCCCTTCTCCTCATTCTTCAAGTAGTCGCAATTTGACGGCACCTCGGGCAAATCTTGTCTCTTCAACCGGTGGGATCCCGCTGTCTCGCGACCCTCGGCAGTGCCTGTTGTTGCATCGACCGAGTGATGCTTCCGTTTGGTGACGGCATTGTCAATGATTTTAAGCACTTGTGGCCGTCGCGACATGTCTCCGCCGTCTGGTTCTTCGGAATCTGAAATCCAGATGGACTTGAAGTCCTCGGCAATTTCAGTTCTTTCGGACTTTCTGCGCAGCGACTGCGACTTCAGCCGCCCAACACACGCGGCAGCGGATCCTTCTTCGGGGCAATAAGTCAGAAGAACGGCAATACTAGGAGCAGGAGAGCAGTCCTCGACTGGTCCTCTCTTACCCTTCGAATTTCCTCCTTGTATTTCACTCCGGAGTTCGCATCTGTTCATTTGAGATCGCCTCCGCGACTCCGTCACTCTTTCTAAGGGCTTCCTATTTCGATTTCTCTCTTCTTCGTGTTCTTCCAGCTCGTCGCAATGTCCTCGTACCTTGTACTCTTCCGTCGTTGCTGTTCTTCTGATCTCGTCTTCTACCGGTTCATCTGTCTTGAAATCCGTGTCTTCGCTCACGCTTGTAGTGCCATTGTTACTCTCGTTCGTATTGTTGCTCCTCCTATTAGTACCGGTAATGGCGTTACTGCTGCCGTCGATGCTTCTGCTTGCTGCGCCAGTTACTATTTCGTCGCACTCGAGACGAAACTTTGAGAGAGGTAGAAGGTCAAGCACATCGAAGTATTCGAGCTCGCCGTCGTCCTCGAAGAGAATACTGTCCAGACTCCTGCGCTGCTCCTTGCGCCTCCGCTTCACCTGTACAGAGGTAAGAGAGCAAACGACTGGCGCGCGCGAGAGAGACAGTGATTGAATGAGGGGGAGAGAGAGAGAGAGAGAGCGAAAGAATGGAAGAACGCAGGTAGAGAAGGTCGAGAATGAGAATTTGAGGGAATTGAACAAATTGAGTTTCGTACGAACCTGCGTATAGATACAGTCGAGGCTTCTGTTCTCTTCGAGAGGCCAATCGTCCTCGACGATGTCGACGAGGCCCCCGACGCCGTCGAGAACTTGAACGCTGTGGTATCGTCGCAAATGGTCGGGCCAGTCGAGGATATTCAGACGATCGTGATCACGAAAACGATTTTCCTCTCGGAAGCAAGAGACAGGATTTCGATCTGTCTTTAAGGATTCTTTCAATCTCTCGGAATTATATGATTCCGAGAGATGTTGTTGACTTCTGGACAATCTGAGAAACGAGTAATAGGAATGAACGGTGGCTGACTGATCGAACAGTTTTGCGGTGTATCGGTAAATTTATCAATCGGTCCAACAACTCACAGAAAGTAAGTAATACCCCTGCGACGGTCAAGCCAGGATGGATATATCATTCTCTCTCTCTCTCTCTCTCTCTCTCTCTCTCTCTCTCTCTCTCTCTCTCTCTCTCTTTGTTGCTTCTTACCTGTCCTTGAGTGAATTGCGATCTATTAGCTTTGCTCTGGGGATAAGCTGAGCTTTGCGAGGGACATCGAAGGGCTCCCCTAGTCGAAGGTATCGGCACTCCTGTTCCTTTCTCACGTTGTCCTCGGCAATGAGGGCCAAGCTCCTCGTTCTCTTTAAGAGTTTCTTCTGCTCTGCTGTCTCCAAGGCTTCACTTCCACGTTTGCCATAACGACTGCTGCCAGCTACACCCTCCCTGCCATCAGTACCGAATATTCAATCACGAGTCTTGTCGCCGCGATTTTGCCTTATTCATTAGAGCCTATACCGTATAAGAGTTTCCAATAAGGTAAGGCGATAATTCAACTATGAGACTGATAATTTGCCGAAAGGTCGACTCTATTACGAACCAAGGAAAACAGTCGAAATCTGTTTTTACGAAAATACGAAAGCATACGCTACAGTGGAAGTCATAGGATATATATATATATATATATATATATATATCGATTAACTGACCAAAGAATATGGGAGAATAACGGGACTAGTCGGAAAAAAGGAGAGAAATTGGTTATCGGTTTGAGGTAGTGTCTCTCTATGCTTCTTTTATTTTCCCCATTTGCCTTCCTTCCATACTATACAATATGCCATTTTATCCTGGAGATGAGACTAACAAGAGAAAGTATTACATCGAACACACCGCATCCACGCTATAAGTAATACGAAGCGGCAAAGAAACGAGAGCCAACGAATGAGCACTCGATAGCTCGTAACTCGCGTAAAGTAGTGTACCTACCGAACTACACCAGCTACGTTTTGCCGAATTGCTGTCATGGACATGCGAAACACGAGGCCACAATTCGCTATGCTTTTGTAAACACGGTACAGGGTACAGGGTACAGGGTACAGGAACTGGAACTGGAACTGGAACGGCCCTCGAGAAGCAAAAGCGGTGTCTGTCTTGTCGTATTGTTTCTGTCGTAGGAGCACGGACGCGGGGGACACGAGAGCTAAACCGACGTCACGTACACGGCTTACGTAACTACATCACGAGTTATTGAGATCCGCCGAGTGCATACTTACTTACTCGCGTGGAGAGAGAGAGAGAGAGAGAGAGAGAGAGAGAGAGAGAGAGAGAGAGAAAGAAAAAGAAAAAGACTCTTCCCTCAAACGGAGCCTTCTACCTAGTGCTGAATTTCCCGATTAATTATAAAAATATGGCTTTGCAGCCTCATTTATCCTTCTCCTCTCCGCACAAGCCTATTGGTGCGTTATTAGTTATTAGTATTAAAAGGGCACGCACGTAAGGAGGCGTCATTATGAGCTAAGTTACGGGCCTTTTATTCGTCTATTTGAAACACTATCTGGTCCATCTACTAGGAAGCAAAGTCCAAGCATTTTTAATGGGCGACTCGTTACGGGACTGAGAGCTCTCTTCTTAATAGAATCATCGTCCTGTGCGATCACTTATCCTTTACCTTAAATAGAACGACGATCCTTCCTAGTTGATAATTAATCGCTCCTCTTTATTATTTTCTGCTTACGATCAGTAGGTGTAGGTGGGTGTACGTCTTTTAACGACTTTATGGTAGAAGACTTGATATCCGTTCACCACGCGCGACTCTGCCCGTCGGCACTAACTGGACAACTAACTAGCATGCGCAATCTAGCGTGAGTGCCGTGACGAATGGAGGAAGGTGCGAGGGGATCCCGAGACAGAGGGCAAACAGCGGGTAGAAGGAGTCAGCGCAAAAAGAGACAAGTAGAAGGAAACCTGCGGCTAACTTTGACGATGCACCTTGACTTGATGTTTTCGAACGAGAGTGCCATTGCTGCTGCTAAATTGATTACGTAATCCAATGTACAAAGCAATTGGCATTGGCACGCGTTGGGTTTATCGATTAGGAACTCTGGAACTCTCGAACTCTCGAACTCTTCTCTTGAGTCAAAAGGCAAACGAACGTTTACTTGTAGTATTATTTGGAAGCATTAGTGATCCGATCTGCAGCCGCAGGCCGATCACGTCTCAATCGTGACTCTGTTGAACGGAAGTATCCTCGACAGCGGAAGTGTGCTCATGGGAGTCCCAGTGCAACGAGAATCCAGAAATGCATTTGCGCGCCTTTCCAATTGTTCTTTATCTGAAATTCTAAAGTTCTCGAAGAGAAGTGACCAAAGACTTGGATCCTATAGGAAATCGATCGTTGTTTCTCTTGGGATGTTGGTTATCACGAGATAAAAGGCTCACAGTGTGTCAAGGACGCAGGCCTTTCGAGCAGAACGGAACTACGGCACGCGCGTTTCACCGTCTTTGCCATCTTTTATACTTTTTATCCTTTTTATCCTTTTTATCCCTAATAAACGGCTTATTGTTTCGCCTCGTCTTCTTTGTCGATGAACGTTGAAAAAATATTTTAAAGAAAAACATAAAGTTGCACCAACCCCACGTAATTCCTTATGTCTTCACCGTACAGGATGTTAGAGGGTGCTGCTAGCGAATGACGGTTAATAGGAGAATGCGACTGAAATGCTACACACGGCGAGGAGTTGGAAGATCAGACGCGCAGTAATTCCAGACTTCTTAATCTAATTGTACCTGATCTGCTTGCCGGTGTCTTCGTCAAATTCCATGGTCACTTGATAGTACACCATCCTTATGGAAAACATCGTGCAAGATACGTCGATCCTCTCAAAATCCGATATTTACCTTCGGCTTGCTATTACAATATTTCAATAGCTTGCTAATTAGGTAGAACCAAGAGTTGACAGTGTATTCGCGCGCGTGCACTCTCGCCGCCGGAATTTCATCTAAAACATTCGAGGACTTCGTCCGACGCGGCTATGCACTGTGTGTCCGATCGGTAGCACTGAGGCAGTGCGGCAGTGCGGCACTGCGACGTGTCGCCGTGCTGAATCCCATGCACAAACGGATATCCGGCATTTCGTTGTTTTTTTCTTTCTTCCGCCTCCCATTCTCAATTATACAGCTCTCATTCGGATCCGTAGGTTATTTATTTCTTGTTCTTTTCGCAAGAGACGTGAAAGTGAAAAGCTTCGAAAGAACTATCGCGGGTGACGCGCGACAATACTAGAAGATTGGGCATGCACGGGTCGCTCCTAAGGAATATTGTAGACGCCGAAGAGTTCAGTTGGCTAGCATTTCCGGTATACGTTTTTCAGTCGCTAGCCGAGCGAGACTTTCGGCACGCAACGCGAACGCGGATCTCATTTTCATGTACAGTAACGTCGACCGACCAACTAGATCACGAGCATTAATAGGCACTGCCGGAAATATTACCGTTACACGGGAATTCGACAATCTGACAAATCATTATTATGCACTCGCCGAAAATGAAGCTAAAATTCTGTATTATATCAAAGTCAAATACATAATCATAATTTTGTATCTTTGACTTTACTTACCGGTGACAACGTTGCCGTTGCCTTTCGTGAACCCACAAAGCATCTCCTAAGCTGTGACTTCCACTGTGAACACCCCCCATAATACTTTTTAGCCTGATGCTCCTTTTCACGACAATAATCCTTTATATTATTTTTTTTATTTCAGTTTTTCTTCGTTATTTCTCCTTTATCACTTATATTCTATTCTGCATTTAAATTTTTCATTTCCCATTGTCTATCGACTCTTGACTTCGTCATCCCTTTTTCATTTTCTTTTTTTTTTTTCAATGGCAATGTTTGTCGTCTTGTTAGCCTTGGTGTCTCGTAGTACCATCAATGTCCGATAGATGGGCTCTACGCGCGGTGTCTTTCTCGCATGGGAGTGTGGCTCGTCCAGTGCTCAATAAGAGTGCGCAAGCTAACGAAACTTTACTTTTATGTGAACCGAGTGTTGTTCCTACGTAAACTTTTTCGAGAGAGGGTCGTGACCACACGGTCTTTGACCCACATAAATAAATTGAAGAATATAGTTTTGTTTTAGTACACTCTTTTGTCGTCTAATTATCCGATTTTTTTTGGAATAAGACATAAACATAAACTCGGGGTGTACTCGTTTTTCTCACAAATCTGTAATTTTTAACAATAATTTTGTTTGTAAAATTCGTATTTGGTTATGGTTGT